ACTGCGGTGAACTTGATGAACACAGATGAAGCGGCCTTGTGGGATGTTTCGATGGCAAAGTATGCGCAAACGGGACATCGTGCTCATGCCCTGGAAGCCTTGATGTTTGGGACCTCACCGCTTGGGGGACTTTCAGAGGGGCTACCGGCTATGATGGCACCGTCCTTGAATTTGGACCCCAAAAGTGGTTGGAAGTACTTGAAGGCGCTTCCGATCAAGCGTGCAACGCGGAAGGCAATGATGAACAAAATGTGGTCCGTGCGCTGCTTTACCCGAGATGATGAGGTGGACTTCAAGGTGCTCAACACAGCCGAGGTAGTGTTTGTGGACGTCAATGTTGCCAAAAGCAAGCTTTTCTCCTTGAAGGGCGACAGCGTGATGTACAAGGCTTTGATGTGGGCGGCATTAAGGGGCCAGTTGGAAGGTCTCTATGGTTCAGTCCCAACAAACCACTCTGAAGAACTGAAAAGCAAGTTGCTGTGGTTATGGATGCTGGCATCGCACGCCAACAACAATGTGGGCAAGAAGGATCCCTACCTGGCTTTGGGCGGGAAGTTCCTGGAGCACTTTTGCAAGACGGAACAATGGAGGAGGATTCAGCACGAATACGAGCTTCCAATGGTGTGTACGGTGGCAAAGGAAACGGGCAACAACTATTTGATGATCACGAACCTAGACCTGGAGAATGACCTAGGTGGAGTTTCAAAAGGGGTGTCATCCAGTCAGGCTTGGTCTGAGTCCGTGTGCCACAGGGTGATCCAAGCTATTCAGGATTGGAGGCGATCGTTCCAAAGTTGGATGCTCAAAAAGTATGATGTTCCGCTGAGTGAAATGAAAGAAGCCGAAAAGAGAAAGTGGATCAGGCACATCAAAAACGGTCATTTGCCGTTTGAGAAGCGGTGCAAAACCTGCATCGAAACATGCGCCACGGGACGGGCCCATCGGCGAATAGTGGCCCCGTCGTGCTATGTCTTGTCACTGGACCTTTGTGGGCCGTTCAGAGTGCGGGGTGAATATGCGGGTTCAAAGGGCTACCGGTACGCCTTGATCGGGGCTTACCTGATGCCGAAGCTTAGTGGTGCCAAGGACGAGCCGATCCCGGAGTACACCCCGGAAGAGGAGGAGGCGTTTGAAGAGGACAACTTGATGGATGAAGTGGGACCTCCAGATGAACCCCTTGACCCGGCAGATGAGAAAGACCTAAAGGAGGCGGAGGAGAAGTACAACAAGTTGCTCAGTGGTCTTGGGGAACTACCCGAGTATCAAGTTCTCAACTATGCGATCCCGCTGAAGACGAGGCTGGCATCAGAAGTGGATACGGCGGTGAAGTCTTTGTATCTACAGTTGCGAGCTGAGGGACTTCCTGTTACAAGAGTGCACAGTGATAGGGCAAGAGAGCTGCGAGGAAGTGCGTTGAGATCCTGGCTGATGTCGCGAGATGTTCTTCCTACATGTGGAGAAAGTCAGGTCCCGCAGACCAATGGAAGGGCTGAGGCCGCGGTGAAGAGGGCCAAACGAAGGACCAAAGCGTTGCTTATGGCATCAGGGCTTCCTCGGGCGTGTTGGCCGTGGGCTATGACGTACTCGGCTTTCCAGCAAAGGGAAATGGCGTTGGGAAGAGGCAGTTCCTTGTTGTCTTTTGCGTCACCTGTGCACGTAAAGAACAAGGTGTTTGGAACGGGTCACAAGTTTGACCTGGACAATATGTGGAAGGAGGGCGTCTACGTGGGACCAGCCCCGGACATCAAGGGTGGACATACGGTGCGTTTTCCTGAAGGACGCTTTGTGAGCAGCATGCACCTCAAGAGCGGCGTGGTGGACATGGACAAAGAAGTTCACCTGGATGAGGTGGAGATGACATTGCCTTCCCCTACCAGAAGACACTCAATGAAGTTTCCCCTTAAGAGACAAGAGGAGGAGCGCGAGGAGGAGGAAGGGGAGGAGTACAATCTACCAGCAGAAGATTCCGATCCACATCAAGTGCCACCTGGTGCGTATGGAGCGTTTGAGGATGATGAGCTGTTCCCCGAGCTTGCTATGGATTGGAAAGATGGACCTGTAGAAGTAGGTTTTCAGCACGATCTACCAGCAGAAGATTCCGGTCCACATCAAGTTCCACCTGGTCTTTCAGATGATATAGAAGCATCTGTGCCGTCTGGTGTCCCTGAGGGTGAAGCATCTGTGCCGTCTGGTGTCCCGTCAAGGCGTTTGACCTCTAAAACAAGGCTGAGAGCTCTCCGACCTTTGTCAGAACCAGAGCAACTAGCAGAACGCCTAGCAGAAGGGCTACTCGAGAACGACAAGTTTGCCAACGAGGATATCTTGGGCTTGTATGTGTACTTGGAGAAGGCTAAACAACTGTTTTCCAAATCACAAGGACGGAAGCCTTCACCGAAGACCACATCGTGGATTACGGGAATGTTCGCTCGTGGCGGAGTTTGTGGCCTACGTGATGGAGCCTTGCGAATGCCTGCGGTTACAAAGTACCCCGCGATGTTTGCTCAGAAGGTTGCTGGTGTCCGAGAGTTTGGTGCAGTTGGAATCGTAAAGAACTCTGGACTTGGTTGTCATCGTGATCTACACAATCATCCCTACAGTACCAATGCAGTGTATCCTCTCAGTGAGTTCAAGGAGGGTGGTATTTGGGTACAAGGTGAGGCAAAGGAGCATGAGGTCGTTGTGAACAAACAAGTGAAGCCTGGTGTTTGGAAGCAAGGTGTGATACAAAACTTCGATGAAAACAGGGCTGTGCACTTTTCACCGCGACTATGGCATGAAGTACAACCTCACGAAGGAGACCGTATTGTGCTGGTTACATACCATCCAAGAGCAACCAACCTCCGGTACAACAACGCAGTGAAGCTACGTGAAATGGGTTTTCCGTTGGTACCAGGTGTGGCCGAGAAAAAGTCGATTGCATTGCTCAGTCACCGATCTGGGAAAGCAGAGGAGGCGTTACAGGGTTCTTTGACCAACCTGAATGAAGCGCACCAACAGTTGCTTGAAGACATGGAGGAAAGAGCAGCAGCTTTGAGATTGCTCCTTGAGGAGGAGCAGGCGTTGGCTGATGATTTACAAGATGCAAGTGAATATGTGGTGGATGAAGCCAAAAAGATTGCTGAGACAATCCACAACATGATTCACGGCGTGGGCAAGGAATTGGAAGGCCTTGAGAACAAAGAGAGGGATGCTTGCTTAAAGGCGGCTGCTGTTCACCAGGAGCCGGACTATGAGGCTGTGATTGACAACTTACAAGGTGATCTACAGGTAGTTCATACAGTACCTCTTGAGCAAGTACGCCCTGTTGCTGAGCGTTGGGATGCTGCAATCAAGAAGGAGCTAGACAGCTTGTTTGGTTCCGGGACTTTGAGAAAGATGTCAAGTCAAGAAGCGGCTGAAATGCAACGACAAGGGAAGCTGAGACTTGTGCCCAGTAAAGGGGTGCACACCTTGAAACCTCCAGATGTTGCAGGAGGTCGGCTTCGAAGACGTTATCGTCTAGTACTATGCGGCAATCACGCTGTACGTGAAGAAGGCTATGGTTCCTTGTATGCTGGTGGTGCATCTATTGAGACGTTCAGAGCAGCGTTGTGCTACGGGGCTGCAAGGCGATGGAGAGGCGCAACAAGTGACATTTCCTCGGCTTTCCTACTTGCTGAGTGGCCGGAAGGTTTGTCACAGTATGCAGTTCAGCCACCAAGATTTTTGGTGGAACGAGGCTACGCTTCGCCATCAGAAGTGTGGCTAGTGCAGAGACCACTCTATGGTCTGAGGGAATCTCCGTCGATATGGTCTGCATGCAGGACACGGAGATTGACTACAGCGAAGATTCCCTTTAAGGAGGGTCACTTGGAAATGAAGGCCTCAGAAGTGGACAAAGAGGTATGGATGGTTTACCACGTTGAAAAGGAGAAGAAAACCTTGGTGGCTTTGCTGGTCACCTATGTAGATGACCTCTTCTTTCTGGGATCTACCAAAGTGGTTCAAGCGCTGGACAGCTGGGTGCGTGAAGAATGGCCTTGCTCAACCTTGCAATGGGCAGATGCTCCAGAAGGTACTCGTTATCTTGGAACGGAAGTGACACAAAGGCCTACAGGTGCTTTTGAACTACGGCAATCGGGCTACATTCGTGACCTGCTGAGATCCCACGAGATGACAGATGCAACCCCAACACAACTTCCATGCCCAAAGGAATGGGTAGCTGAGGACGTGGACGGCTATGTGGAAGAGTTCAACGAGGAAGACTTACGTATGGGTCAAAGAATGGTGGGTGAGTTGCTATGGTTAACGATGCGAAGCAGACCTGATTTGCAGTTCGTTGTGGGACACATGTCACAGTGGGTTTCCAAGCATCCAAAGAGAGTGACTCGTATCGCCAAGCGCGTACTGGCCTACTTGTCGGCAACGGTGCACATGAAGCTTGTGATCGGCGACTACAAGAACGAAGCAGCAGCAGGCTGCAGCACAACATCACCACAAACTGCGCGCACAGACAACACGTGCACAGGTGATAATGGGGTTGAATGGTTAAGGGTCATAGCCTATTCGGACGCTAGTTTTGCTCCCACTGGGTCGAGATCCAATGGTGCGGCGCTGGTGACGTTGAACAACAGCCCTATTGCCTGGAAGGCTACGAGGCAGAGCATGGTGACTCTATCGACCATGGAATCAGAGCTCTTGGAAGCAACCCAAACTGCTGCTTTGGCTGAGGGAATTGCTTGCTTGATTGATGAATTCTGCCAACGGCGTGTAAGTCGCGTGCTTCGGGTGGATAATGCGGCTGCTACGGCAATGCTGGAAGGGGACCGGGTTCATGGAGAACACGGCACCTCCGTGTGAGAAGTGCTTACGTTCTGCAGCAAGTGGAGTTGGGCCTTTTGCAGATTGAATTTGTGGAAGGGCGCAAGCAACTAGCAGATCTGGGCACGAAGGCGCATCCTAAGGTGCGGCTTTGGGAGCTCTTGGAAATGTGGGGCTTTGAGTGTTTACCTGATGAGGCCATGCAATCGAAGCTTGTGAAGACAATCATGCTATGTTTCCTCACAATGGCTGTGAAATCAATTCCTGTGGCAGAGGCGGCAGAAAAGGAGCCGTTAAGTCTGGCGGGCGTTGATGAGCTGGTGTTGGTCGTGGCTGTGTGCTGTCTAGGAGCTGTTGCTGTCTGGGAGATAGTAAAATGGTGTGGCCGCTGCATGTGGGAACGTGCGGTGAAAGGAAAGAAGGCTCAGAGGCTTCAAAGGATGAGAGACTTGGCCAAGGCTGCAGTGGAAACCGAGCTAGACCGAGCTTGGGATGGACCGCATGATGTCCTAGATGGACAGACGCCACAGGAGCGAGTCGAAGGTGCGATGCAAGGGGCTATGGCAAGAGCGTTGGAAAGCTCTCCGGTGCTTCGCCAAGGCCCGAGCACAACAATCGGAAGGACGGCACGTCAGACGAGTGTGGGAACGCAGACTGAGTGGCGTCATGAAGTTGCTGAACCACAGGCTGAATACTTCAGGTTTGAAGGGCCGTTCTACATGACTGAGTATGGCAAGAATGTGCATGTTCGTCATGATTGTCATGGTTTCCGTTTGGCTTCGCATCGCGTAAAGACTATCGGCTTTTGTGATTGGTGTGAGGGACAAGTTCCACTATATATCAGAAGGGAGAGAGGCACGTCATCAACAAGAAGACTGGGTTGAACCTCCAAATGACGGCTTTTCTTTGATGACTACTGTGACCCGCGGCGGCTGGAAACCATACTGGCACAGAAGGGAGGTAGTTTGCAAGCGCTGGCTTCGAGCAGATGTCCAGGAATTTATAGTGTGGCATAAACCCGAAGGGATAATGCCAAGGAGGAGTGTTGAAGCCCATGTCCGAACATGTGATACGGCTGTTTGGATGTAGCATGCTTTGGCTGACAGCAGTTGCAGGTCTTGAAGACATGTAAAGATGCGTCTAAAGGACATAGAGCACTGCATAGATCAGTTCAGATTTCTGGCTTCCGATAAAACGTTTGCGACCGAGCCTTCTTTGCATGGAGTGCTGCCTGTGAGACGTGTTCTGGTTACCGATGTCTGCCTTTCATTCGCCCCAAAGCCAACGACCCGATGATGAACAACAACAGAATACTATTTTGGGGGGGCTCCTTATCGTAATTATGGTATAATACACCCCCAAACCCTGTTCTGTTCTAATCCTTGCACTAGTTATTAAGGCCCTTACAGACTATTTTGCAATCACCGTGACACATCCTGCAAGCCGGAGGAGGCTGGAAACCTGGAACCGAACATCCTTTCAAGTCGGAGACTGAAAACTCAACACCTCTACCTATACTATTTCGGGGGTTCCTTATTATGTCTCTGGTATAATGGGCCCCCAAATCCCTATTCTAATTACAAAGGCCCCTATATAAGTGGACTCCCTCCATCTTACAGTCCTCAGGGCCCTGATCTTCAAGTCGTCTCATCCCTCATCCTAAGTGTCCATGCAGGAACTTGTTGAAGGCTTAAGTCGATCGCTACTCTATACCGGCAACCCTAAACCCTGAAACCCAAAACCCCTATAAACCCTGAAACCCAAAACCCTAAACGCAGTTTCACCATGTGCCTCAGTGAGAGGGGATTCGATGGGAGGGTCGGGTCTAGCACATTTAAAAAAAAAAAACCTGCAACCATAGAGGCATGGATCACAAAGCACCATGGTGAACTTGCTACAAACCTTCAACTCACCTGGAGAAGAGCCCCCCATCCCAAATTCAACCACTAAACCTCGTAGAGGAGCCCTTGTTGGGCCAGCCCTCGTCATACAGAATTCGAGCTTCTGAGGGCGCCGAGCTGGAAAATGGTCCTGAGCGCAAGAAGTCGATGCTACTCTGGCTTAGTAAGGGTTCCGTTTCTTGCAGGGCTTTTTCGAAGCGTTCCTTGAGGGGGGTATGGTAAACACTTACACTAGTTTACGGTTTCTATCGGGGTCTCGCAAGGGTTCTAGGTGAGTGTTGTGCCTTAGGGCTCCTGCCTCACCCGAAACCCTGAACCTAAAACCTTTTGAAAGAAAGGAATCCAAGCTCCAAAGCTAGAGGGCTGCAAAGGGCTCAAACAGAGCCAAAAATACATACTTGAGTGTAGTGTAGTAGATACTATATACAGGGTTTAGTTTACGATCAGGACTTCCGTTTCCTCATTCCCTATTAAGAATTGAGGAGTTTCGCTGTGGGCTTCCGTAAATGAAGTTGGCCCGGCCAGAAGCAGGACGACCTTCTCGCTGTATAGAGGGCTGAATCACGACGAATACGTCCTTGATTGGATTCCTGCCAAAGTGTTGAGAGTACAAGTCCACTGCGCCAGGTTAACCCCAAAGCCTATACACCCCTTCTTCAGAACACTATAGTAAACCCTGTAGCGCTTGGCAAGCCATCGAACCCCTTATAGGAACATGTAGCCTTATGGTTCATTGGCCTCATGAGCTGCTTGTTAGAAGTATTCGCAGCCTGCTAGGTCTGTATACTATCACACACCTATGCCTGCCCATAGGCAAACCCAAAAAGGAACTACTATGGGCCGATGGGTATACCCTTTACTCTAATACCTTCGCGCCTTGAGTTCACGCCATGTTTCAATCAAAGCTTTCTTTAAGTGGCAACAAGCATCAAAGAAGGGTCGGAGTGCCCAGCAATGCTCAACCGAACTTTTATAGATTGAATCATGTTTTCAATTCCCGAACCTTGATTGTACAAGGGTGAGGGCTCGGATATTGCCGGTTCGCAACATGTCGATTCACGTGGAAGTGGGACTGATCAGCGGCAGGAAAGCCAATGTGCAAGCAGCCTTGGATGAGACGGTTGGAACGTTGAAGCGACGGGCACAGGTTGCACTCGGGGTGGGGACAGGACGTCTCCTGGACTCATCTGGATGTGTCCTGGAAGGATGTGCGCTGATCAAGAAATCAAGGGTGCAGAAGGGTGACTCCCTGACCTTGTTGTGCAACACAATTCAATTTCAAGCCACTAGTTCCGCTTTTGCTGCCACTCTTGGCGATGGATCGGTTGTGACCTGGGGTGATGCTGGCTCTGGTGGCGACTGCAGTGATGTGCGGCATCAGCTTGTGAATGTGCGACAGATCCAAGCCTCCGACTGGGCTTTTGCTGCAATTCTTGGCGATGGATCCGTTGTGACCTGGGGTGATGCTGAGTGCGGTGCCGACAGCAGCGCTGTGCAGTCTCAGCTGAAGAATGTGCAGCAGATCCAAGCCTCCGACTGGGCTTTTGCTGCCATTCTTGAGGATGGATCCGTTGTGACCTGGGGTGATGCTGAGTGCGGTGCCGAAAGCAGTGCTGTACAAGTTCAGCTCAGGAATGTGCAGCAGATCCAAGCCTCTGATAGCGCATTTGCTGCCATTCTTGACGATGGATCCATCGTCACCTGGGGTGATGGTGAGTGCGGTGGCGACAGCAGCGCTGTGCAGTCTCAGCTGAAGAATGTGCAGCAGATCCAAGCCACTGATTCTGCTTTTGCTGCCATTCTTGACGATGGATCCATCGTCACCTGGGGTTATGCTGAGTTCGGTGGCGACAGCAGCGCTGTGCAGAGTCAGCTGAAGAATGTGCAGCAAATTCAATCCTCTCAGTCTGCGTTTGCTGCCATTCTTGGCGATGGATCCGTTGTGACCTGGGGTGATGCTCGGTGCGGTGCCGACAGCAGCGCTGTGCAGTCTCAGCTGAAGAATGTGCAGCAAATCCAAGCCTCCGACTGGGCTTTTGCTGCCATTCTTGACGATGGATCCGTTGTGACCTGGGGTGATGCTGAGTACGGTGCCGACAGCAGCACTGTGCAGACTCAGCTCAAGAACGTGCAGCAGATTCAAGCCTCTCGTTCTGCCTTTGCTGCGATTCTTGATGATGGATCCGTCGTGACCTGGGGTTATGCTGAGTTCGGTGGCGACAGCAGCGCTGTGCAGAGTCAGCCGAAGAATGTGCAACAGATCCAGGCCTCCAGCCGCGCATTTGCTGCCATTGTTGGCGATGGTTCCGTCGTGACCTGGGGCAGTGAGACCGATGGCGGCGACAGTAGTGCCGCGCAGGATCAGTTAAAGACTGTTCGATAGATCTGTATTCCCTGCAAAGTCGGTGAGCTCGTGTGAGTCGTGTTGGCAAGCTGTGTCGCATCACTGGCAGCAGCACAGGCAGATTCACCTTCCAAGAGCAGCGCAGGGTCCCCACACCAACCCAAACCCATACGCCCAAGAATCAGGATGGAATCGTCATCACCTGAGGTGATGAGATAGCAATATTTGATGTGCAAAATCCCGCGAACCTAAGATCTCACTGCCTGATGAGACATGAGCTCTATCTTCCGTGCTCGAGTGCTTGAAGGACAAATGTCGAAGAGAAAGGACGAAAGAAGCCTGAGTTCGTGACCTGTATGCATGAAGGGCTAAACTCACATAAATCATGTACTGCAATTAGTAAACCCTAGTTCCTGTTTCACACTCTCAGAAGGTGAGCAGATGCAGAAAGCTAAGCTCGGCTTAAAAAGCCTTGGCTGCGCCTGGTCTCGTTGCTCAACGTCCACACCTGACACAGCGAAGCCCCTAACTCCTTCTGCTTAACCCGTAAATCCGAGCATCTTATATTCATTTGTATACATACTCTCCCGAAACCCAACCTGCAATATGGTTCTCCTAAGCATTCCTAACCCTTTAAGTGCCTAATTTGCTGGGTTTTGGGAGCCCACCAAAGCCGACAAATCCCAGGCCATGGGCTTCAGATAACTCTATACCCTAAACCCTAAAGCCTATTTTGGGTGCTCCCTATTGCAGCTATATAGTATAATGAGGGTAACCCTAAACCCTAAACCCTATACCGTGGCTATACCCTAAACCCTAAAGCCTATCTTGGGTGCTCCCTATTACAGCTATATAGTATAATGGGCCCTGGGGCTTTCTTGTGGCATCTTGGGGGTGCTCAGAGGCTGCATGATGTTTGGGTTCATCTTCGGGCATTTCCTGTTTAGGGCTTAGGGATATCCGGACCGTCACGATGCAGAGCTACACATTCCAGGGTCGCCGGGTCAAACTGCGCGTCGAAACGTCAATTCGAAAGCTCAGCAGAATTGGTTCGGCGTTCTGGGGAGTTACTGATACAACTTCGACCCGCTTGTCAACTTGCCAGGTCCCGTTCCGGACATCAGCACTCCGATGACGACGACTTTGACCAGTTTTCCGAGGCCCCCACAATCCTTGAACGGGATCGGATAGGGGCTCCTATAAAGGGAACTCCAGAAAGTTGGAATATGGTTTCAGGGTAGGATCCCCTATAATTTACCTTAAAGGGGTTACGATAATGATATTCCAACTTTCTGGCTTCTACTGTAAGAGATTGCTACGGTTTGTGGTTTTACGGTTGGGTGTATAATGCAAGTGTCGGGATAATCAGAAGTAGATTACCCCCCAACAGTCCCTCTACAGTTGTAGCATCATGTACAACTTCAACAATATGCTAGTTGCTAACTCCCGTGGACGATGAGGTTGATTGAAATCTTGGTAAGGAGCTATAGTAATCACAATGTAAACTCCTGTGTAAACCACGATACACCCCAACAGTATCAGACCTTATGAAGCCTTCTACAGCCCTATTATGCAGCCCTTTGTCACCGTATAAGCCGTTATTAAACCACTTGCTGAATGAGTCTTAACATGGGGGCCGATGGCTCAGTTGTAACTTATCCTAAATTTCTACAGAACCTCCACCGAGAACCTGGCACCTCAGCTGCGTGAGGGATTACTTGGAGGATCAGGTGGGTTATAAGTCCCCTAATTGACGCTATAAGTAATTATTATAAGTATAGGTACCTTATTATAACCGCAGTTACTAAGTCCCATGATCCTCCCAGACCTTCCAAAACCCCTTAATTAAGGAATATACCTTAAATTATAGTAGGATCCTTAATATGATTTAAGGTATATACCTTAATTGAGGGATTTTGGAAGGTCTGAGTGTTTCGATTTGGGGTTCCGGCTTTAGCGGCTAGGAGTTTAGTTCATGCCGTTGGGGCTTACATATATATATACACACATATATGCACATATTTATATATATATATACACATATAGTAATAATAATATAGATACATATATATATATATATATATATACATATGTGTGTGTGCACCGATATATATATATATATATGTATCATGCAGCCAACGTGCACCAGCATCTCATCTACATTTGCTGTTGATCTGTCTGCAGGAGATACAACACTCTCTGGCACCTAAGTGACAATTACCGGCGAAACTATGAAATAGCAGATGCACTTATGTAGGTGGCAGCGGCTTACTGGCAGAAACATGGTGCAGTATTCTGCAACCTAGATGACGAACATTTATACCCAAAAGCAGATAAAAGCAGAAAATGGTAGGTACCGGAGGGGGGGCGGGGTGCATATATATATATATATGTTTATATATATATATATATATATATATATATGTAGACATGTAGGGGGTTTGGAGCCGGGACTTCCCACCATGAAGCAATCCAAGCTCCCCACGTCCCAAGGATTTTCAGGGCTTAGAAGGGGTCCAGCAGCAGTCTTACAGAAGATTTGGTAGGGTTGGGCTTAGCGTTTCTGATTAGATGTTTGGGCCTCCTTGTTTTTTCTGATTGATCCTCCGGAAAAATGGCTCTCCAAAGGACTTTCTGGCCAGGGTCTCTGCCAGAACAACCACCTGTTTCTCCTCCTCCTCCTCGACAACATTTGCAGAAACCCTACCAAAGCTGGGGTGGACCCAAAAAACTCCAATGTTATTCTGAGGGTACAGCTATCACACATTTCAAGACCCGGTTCTAATTGCTTGAAACCCTAAACTTAAAACCCAAACCCTCAACCCCTGAACCCCCCACAAAAAAAAAACAAAAAAACAACAAAACCCTGAACCCCCGAACCCCTAAACCCCAAACCCTTCTGTTGATGATATAAATCCTGCATTACCCATAATAAGGAATGTAGCATAATTCCCATAGTTTAGGGCCCATAAAGTATTACAGGATTTATATCATCAAGCCTAGCTGTTAAGGCCCCTAGATTGGGGCCTCAGACCCGAGTTGCTTGACTGGTGCCCTCCTCATCCTGGCCTTCAAACTTGGAGGAAATCGGTTCCGTGTCAAACGAAAACGAAGAGCTGACCATAAGGGTCCAAAGGACGCAAGAATTAGGTACTTAGGTTTGGGAAAGTGCTTATAAAGTTTATTAGCTGGGGAGAGTATATGATAATTACGTACTTGGACCCTTAGGGTGTTGCTTGAGAAATGGGTTTAGGAGTGCGGACCTAAACGCTACACCGCTAGTTCATAAACCCTAAACTCTTGCAACCAACAGCGAGCATCTCTAAGCATCCTTGGTACTGGGTATATCTAATCTAGTATAAAAGCCAAGATGTTATTCGAGGTGCTGTGTTTGTTGATTGCCTGGTTTGGAAGTCACCTGGCCTCCATAGACGACACTTTAACTTCCGGCCCCTCCTCGATGGAGATCCGGGACGTCTCAATAAAGCACAGAAACCTCCAAGGACCTGGCAAGAGCGATTGTTGGGGACCCCTATAAACCCTGAAGTATTCCCAAGTCGGTATAAGAAGCCATGTAAACCTCCCTTGGAGTTTGCCGTGTAGGAGCCATGAGGTTACTTGCTTCGAACTGGGAAATACTGGCAGTACAAAGCGCAACACATGCATATACACCCTTGCAAACGGAGTAACATTAAACTTTTAGCCTAAGCCACTCAACCCCTAAACCCTACTTAAAGGATCATGGGACTTAGTAACTAGGGTTATAAACAAGGTAACTATACTTATAATTACTTATAACCCCAATTAGGGGACTTATAACCTTACTTACTAAGTCCCCTGATCCTCCAAGTAAGGCCTCTTTAAGTCCAGGCTGAGCACGACGACGCGACGGCACCAAAGGGTTCCCTTTCGTCGGCCCGGGTACCCAGGTGTGGTTTTAGTGTTTAGATTTAAAGCTTGCGGTGTTGATTTGGGCTTGGGGTTGAACATTTAGTTTTGGTTTAGGTTCTAGGTTTCGGGTTTAGGTTGCGTGTTTCAAGGCTCGTAAAGGAAAGCCCTAAACCCTAAACCGTAAGGGGTACGGGATTTGATAATTTACAGTTAACGGGTCCAGTTCCCGGTCGTCTTAGGGTTTCGTGCAAGCTTTTAGGTTTCCGTTTTTCCATAAGTTTCACTGAAGGTCTGATGGTTTTGCAGAGTTTGTGTAGGTGCTTCGGGGTTCTGTGCTTTGCTACAGCGTTCACGGTTGTTGTTCTGTAGAGGAGCGGCACATTGGTTCAAGGGTTTCGTGTTTTCCGGTGCCCGTTGCTTTCGGGTTTGTGTTATTGTTTCCCGGTGCTAGTCTTTAAATGGTTCAGGTTTGCTTTGTATGATTTATCAGTTTGTGGGCCTCAGGGTTTCAGGTTTCAGGCGGGTTGGTTGCATTGCATAGCTGATATCTTGACGAGTTCTTTGGGGATTCTGTGACATTATTTTCACATCAGGGCTTGCTGGGATATAGCAACAGGCCCCATAGCAGTTCCTTTTCTAGGGTGCATATTCAGAATCCTTTAAGGCCCACAATCATCAATTCTACTCAGGAGATCACACGGACACTCAGTCTTGAGGCGCAGATCTCAAGACGAGTGGCTGTGAATATTCGAGGTGGCCCGATGACCGTCACCCAGGGAGCGGCCAGCGACAGAGGAGCAGATCTTAAGACCAGTGGCTGTGAATCTTCCGTGGCGGCCACCATGGGGGGCTTTCACGGATGATACATACCTGTGCTATACTGCAGGTCCATATATCAGGAGTCATCATGCGACCCTGTCTCCCACACCTTATACCGCAAATAGCCCTCACACCCTCGACGTGTTCGGGGTACCTTGAACTCAGGGTTTTCGGGGTACCTTGAACTCCCTCTTCTGGACTATAACCTGAGACCCAAGTCCCTAGAATCGTTTCGGGGACTGTAAATTTAATCAGAGTATGACATAATTACCCCAAAACTCTATTCCCAAAAAGACGCCCCTGTATTCCCCAGAACCCCGATTTCCATACGCTCAGTGCCCCATGAGTAGACGCTTAGTCAATCTATCACTTCAGATTAACCCTAGGAAGTCCCAAAGCCCACAAGGCCCAGCATAGGGTTTACCTCGACCCTGAATCGAGTATCCCTTCTTGGATACTCTATGCTATGGTTATATATGGTGTGTTTTTTTATGTAAATCAAGAGCTTAACCAAAGGAGGTCAATACAATTGTGGTCTAGTGAGGTCTAGGGAAGGCAGCGCATTCCGCTCCGCAATTCTGTCTCTTCAATCCCCAAGGCCTCTCAAGCCTAAACCCTAAACCCCCAGACCTTCCAAAATCCCTTAATTAAGGAATATACCTTAAATCATATTAAGGATCCTACTATATTTTAATGTATATTCCTTAATTAAGGGGTTTTGGAAGGTCTGGGCCTAAACCGAAGCCCTCAATCCGACCTTAACCCCAAATAACTTACATCCTTGGCGACTTGCATAAAGAAATCACATGAGGGAGCCCTCAAAAGGTGGGTCTCTTAGGGTCCAGGTAAACCCTAATCCCTGAACCCTAGGACAGCGGGGGCTGGACTCCGAGTTTCGCTGGTCGATCCGAACCGCCGAACACGCCACCTGCCTACAGGGACCCAGATATGTCGATTTGGGTTTGGGCGTTTTTGATCAGGGCTTAGAGGTTTAAAGCTTTTGGTGTTTAGGGTTTAGGGCTCCTTGGGGTTTATGACCGAGGGTTTAGTTGAGGAATATTGTTGCTGGCTCTCCGGTTTTTCGTGGGTTGAGGAGCGAATTCAGGGTTAGATGTCTTTGGTTGAGGGTTTAGGGAAGGATTCCTAAATATGAAATTAGAGAACCACAGAGATTAAAGAAGTACTCCTATGTTCCGGGATTCTGAAGTTTATGGGAACTTCGGTCCTGTTTGGCGGGCCAGGGTCGAGGGTTAGAGGGTTTAGGGGCCCCCGCTCCCATATTGAGGATTATCGCTTGAAGAAAGCATCAGCGCTGCAACTCACATGAATCGAATAATTAGCTGCTGACAGAAACAGCCTCAGAAAGTTTGCAGCTTGCCGGTGTTTTACGTGGTTCGTGTAAAGCCTACCCTTTTTCAGGGCTCTGATTTCCGCATATAAGTCCTGAACACGGTTATTGGGGGTTGAGGTAGGGTCTTAGGCTTAGGGCTTTCGGATTTGATGATATATATATATATATATATATATATATATAAAGTGTATCGGATCCTTGGATTCAGACAATTCGGGTTCAGGGTTTAGGGCTTGGGTCGGTGGACCCAGGGGTGTAGTATGGTCGCGGTTAGGAGGTTTTTGTTGGTTTAGGGCTCAGAGATGTTATCGAGAGGTTTTCCTCTGAGTACAGATTCCCTTCTCGTTTGTCGTCTGCTTTTGGCTTCAGAATAATAAGAGAACCGCTTGAGGGATTATATACGCAGCCAGGAGCGCCAAAGGGCCCTATTGTACAAGTTCTATTGTTCAAGATACGGCCTTGCAGTAGGCTTCTACTTTGTTGGGAGTTTGGGATGTCGATCACCGTTGAAGTTTCACTGCTCAGTGGCAAAACAGGCACTCTGCAAGCAGGCCCGGATGAATCTGTGAAGACCTTGGGCCAACGGGCGCAGATCGCACTCGGAGTCGGGAAAGGGCGGCTGCTGGACTCATCTGGGGGCATTCTGGATGGAGGCATACCGATCACAAAGTCTCGGATTCAGAATGGGGACTCTCTTACGCTGCAAATAAGCAGAGTTCTGGTCCAATCCACTGGCCGCGCGTTTGTGGCCGTTCCTGGTGACGGATCGGTTGTGACCTGGGGCTCTGCTGCTTTTGGTGGTGACAGTAGTGCTGTGGAGGCAAAGCTGGGCAATGTGCAGCATGTCCAGGCCTCTGGTGGTGCTTTCGCTGCCATTCTTGGCGATGGATCGGTTGTGACCTGGGGTCATGCTGGCTATGGTGGTGACAGCAGTGCTGTGCAGGATCAGCTGAAGACTGTGCAGCAGATCCAGGCCTCCAACCGCGCTTTTGCTGCAATTCTTACCGATGGGTCGGTTGTGTCCTGGGGTCATGCCGGCTATGGTGGCGACTGCAGTGCTGTGCAGGGTCTGCTCAAGAATGTGCAGCAGATCCAAGCTTCTGATTCGGCTTTTGCTGCTGTTGTTGCTGATGGATCAGTTGTGACCTGGGGTGATGCTGACTGTGGTGGCGACAGCAGTGCCGCACAAGGTCAGTTGAAAGCCGTGCAGCAGGTCCAAGCCTCTGGAGGTGCTTTTGCTGCCATTCTTGGCGATGGATCCGTTGTGACCTGGGGCTCCGCTGCCTGCGGTGGTGACAGCAGCGCCGTGCAGAGTCAGCTGAAGACTGTGCAGCAGGTCCAAGCCTCCGGAGGTGCTTTTGCTGCCATTCTGGGTGATGGATCGCTTCTGACTTGGGGTGATGCCGAGTTTGGTGGCGACAGCAGTAAGGTGCAGGATCGGTTAAAGCATGTGCAGCAAGTCCAAGCCACTCCCTTTGCTTTTGCTGCCATTCTCCGCGATGGATCTGTCGTGGCATGGGGTGATGCTGACTCTGGCGGTGACAGCAGTGAGGTACAGGATCAGCTAAAGACTGTGCTTCGGGTACAAGCATCTAGTTATGCATTTTCTGCTATCCTTGGCGACGGATCAGTTGTGACCTGGGGCGATGGTGGTTGTGGCGACAGTCGTGCTGTGCAGCACCAGCTGAAGAATGTGCAGCATGTCCAAGCCACTCTCGGGGGTCCTGGTGCTTTTGCTGCTATTCTTACCGATGGATCAGTCGTGGCATGGGGTTGTGCTGCGTATGGCGCCGACTGCAGCGCTGTGCAGGATCAGCTAAAGAATGTGCAGCAGATCCAAGCATCTGGTGCCGCTTTCGCCGCTATTCTTGGTGACGGATCGATTGTGACCTGGGGTGACACCGCCTGTGGCGGGGACAGTCGTGCTGTGCAGGATGAGTTGTGCTCGAGTTGAGCTTCAAGTGCAGTTTGTAGGTGGGTTTATCCGCGCAAAGGTTTGCAGAGTAATTGCTGACCATGGCTGGCAACATGTGCAGGTTCCTGGCGCCCAGACTCTGACACCCTTGACTACGTAGGCTCTCAAGCGTATGAGGATATGCGTGCGTGGCTGGGTGGGCTTGGCCATGCAGCCTCGCGGAGGTTTGCAAGGTGCGCAAGGGCTGCAAGTTTCACACTGTGCACCTTTCGTTGACGGTGAAGGAGTTGCCGATGTTGACGGGAGAGGCGGCAATCCAGAACATCGCAGGGATTGAGAGGGTAATATCCGGGCCGAAGTAATTACCAATACTGCGGGGGGTCCTCATGATAATTACAGTATAATGGGCCCCAAAACCCTATTCCAATTATTAAGGCCCCTACATTATTGAGATGGACCATGGAAGTCCTGAGAATCGGACACATAGAAGACATCAGCATGCCGCCCGGTGGCAAGTGAGTGAAGCTAAATGGTTTGTTTCAGATGAGACTCTCTACGACAGGAAAGCACGGGAAAATGGCATTCAGCAGAAAAGCTTCCAAGCTTAAACCACAGCTATTATGCTCCCCCACATCAAATGTATGTTAAACATGACCCAACGGCATCAAAGCTTGGCAATTAAATAAGATGGTCCATGACAATAGGGTGCCCAGCTGTATCTATATTTATGATCTTGGTCTATATCTTGGCATGTATCTGTATCTGTGCCTACATTCTACATCTATATCCATGTCACGTCTATGTCTATTCCTGGTTTGGGGTATTCATCAATAAACCCTAGATTCAAGAGTGACTGGAAGAGAAGAGGCACCAGACCCTGGCACACCCGCGTGGTTGGATTCGGATGCTTCAGCTGAGGAAGAGGCCTTAACAATTATATTTACCTACCATACTATTTTGGGGTTCCTTTTCATAATTATAGTATCATATACCCCAAAACCCTATTCTCATTATCAGGGCCCCATTTTAGGGCCTGCAGCTCCAAGTTATAACCATCGTGCCTCAGACCCTCGACGCATCGCATTCATCGAATTCTACACTGTTTCGGTCGATCTGTGCCTAAGCCTAAGCCCTAAGACCAACCTACGGATCCATGTGCCCAGCAATGACCTACCGTTTCGCAGGATGGCAGGGTTATGTGCGTTAGCATTCAGAGGCGTGTATGTCCAAGGGTAAAAGGAGGGACCCTTAATAAGGACCCCTAGGTATATACCGCCTTGGTATAGCGATTATATACCCATTATGTAGCCCATTATAGGGTAGGGGTCCCCATTAAGGGTCCCTCCTTGTCCCCTTTGAGTATGGTTGCCATGGGTATTTGGACCCTCGGGGTCAACTCTGAACTGGGCCGACTCGGCTTAGGGTCTAGGGTTTGGGGGGGCGGCATATCTACGTCTAGCGTTCGAATGGGGTTCCACCACCAAACAATTACACATTGGTTCCTGACCTTTTCCCACCCGCTGTGAGAATACACAGGCTACCACCCAAAATATTGCCTTTTAGGGTTTAGGGCTTACGCCCTCAATTCCCACCTGCCAGTCTGATGGGGCCAGGAAGGCCGCACCCACACACGGCACAAAACAAAGGGTGAGCAGGCCCTAGGGGGGCGCCAGCGGGGGTCAGGGGGGGCCAGGGGGGTTCAGGGGGCCAGCGGGTCAGGGGACGCCGGAGCCCGGGTCCCTGGAATCTGGCCCCTGGCTGAGCTAAATAAGGGGCTTGGTCGTCGATTCGACCACTCTCCAATGGCTCCACCCATTGTCCATCCAGAGTTGGTGTGAATCACTGCCGGATTTCCTTCTGGGTCCAGGCACCCTAAGACAAAGGGTGGGTACGGCCTAAGCAGGCCTGGGTGGGAATTTAGGGTTTAGGGTTTAGGTAACACTGAATAACCTGCCTTTTTAAGACTCCTTATTATGATTTCCTTATATAAGGCCTTAAAAAGGTAGGTTATTCCGGGTTAAGGTAGGGCTTAGGGTAGCTCCTTCGTCCTTTTTCTGCATCAGCCCGGGAAGAACAAAAAGAGGCAGATACCCTGCACGAGAGCACCTAAATGGGAGTTTCCAAAAATTGGGGTACCTTGTTTGGGGGTCCTTATAATCAGGATCCTACTATTTAGGGTACTTTTTTAGGGTCCCCTATTTTCGGAAACTCCCAAATAGCATCTGCTTCGGCCGAAGGCGAGCCAAGGGTTCAGGGTGTTCGCTGCAGGGCCAGGAATATGCTACTTGCGCAGATGGAACCTTATAGGGAGCTTAACCGACATCCCGACGACCTAGAACCTTGAAAGCTCAAGATTGGAACCTGAAGCGACTGCCTCACGGCCCATGTGCGCCTGTAGTTTCCATCGAATCTCGGGGCTTAGCGCTACCATCTACGAGCGTTCAAAGCCCGGAAGCTCCTAAACCCCCCTTAATAAGCAATCATATTACTGTTTCTAAACCCCTAAGCCCTCAACCTTAAACCCTAAACTCAACAAGACCTCGCACCACAGAATCCTAAAGCCTACCTCCGCCCCAAGGCCACAGACAGCCGACGAGGAAGAGTCGAGAGGTCTCCGTGGGGACGCCGTCAGATTTTCAGGGTTCCTTTCAGGGCTCCTTAAGAGCTCCGTTGGGGGTTCCTGAAAAGTTTCCTTTGGGGGTTCCTTAAAGGGCTCGTTTAGGGGTTCCTTTAAAGGGTTGCTATGACCCTTTCTAGGGTTCCTTTTAAAAGAAGCCCTTTCAGGAACCCCTTAAAGGCAGAATCCGGAGTTTGAGGTTTATGGTTGAGGTTCGAATACATACAAAAACCAATCCATATCTCCTCATATCCCTGCATAAGATTATGCAGGGTTGGGGATGTAGGCTTATAAGGGCGTCATATACCCCCCAGAAAACCCCCCACTCACTTCCAGGCCAATGGAATATTGTATGTTGTATGAAGCAGTTTTTTTTATGTTTTTTTTTTCAATTTTCAAGGTCCCAGATCCGAAACCTCAACCAGAAAAGGCTTGAATCAACATCGATTTTTCTGATTTGTTTAAGTGCCCCACAGAATGCCATTTAGGAGCCCGGGGTGCCGGTGGTGGTCATGTCTTCCGGAGATTTTGGAGGGGAGTTTATGGGTTTAGGGTCTGGGGTCTCGGGTTTAGGGAATGAGAATTGTGCTTTGTTTCCGGTTCGAGAAGGTTTAGTTTGTTGGTGGATTAATTTAAGGGTCTTAAGTAACAAAGATTACTATGTGTTGAGGCCCCTGTGTCATGTGAGGTGTTTTGGTAGTGGGTTTGTGGTAGCACTAGCAAATTCCTGGCTGCTCACATCCCCAAGGGTCCATGTACCCTATACAATATGGGTACATAGACCCTCATGGCACATGCACATCCGAATAGCCACAAATGCAAGCTTCACAAGGTAAGCGTTCCAACATAGACCCCACCCTAAACCCCAAACCCTGTAAGGATCCCAAAACGAACCCCAAACCCAACACCCTGCACCGAAGTCGTAAACCCAAATTGAACCCTTCCTTCGGAGGTCCCGTGAAGCCCGTTGCAGATGGGCGGCGCCTTCCCTCCAGGCGAGCGCGGACTCCACAGAAGCTTGCTAAGCTTAGCCCTTAAAGAGAACCCCCTGTAGATCCCCAAACCCAAAGGCTCCATGTACCTTTATAGTAGATACTAAAGCCGTTAAAGGAGTCCCTACATAGGTACTTTAAGGCCTAAGTATATACTATGTGGGTACATGGAGCCTTAGGGAAAAGGAGCCTTGAAAGGAGCCCCTACAGATGCCAGATGCGGAACGAAGCTTTTAAAGGGCAGGGCTGAGGACTTTCCAGCACCCCCGCAAGTACCCTTTACTTAGGGGTTCAAGTACCCTTTACTTAGGGGTTCTTAGAAATATTTTTTATTTTTTGGTTATTATAATCCCTAAGAAACAGCAAAAATTGTAATTTTTGCTAGGGTTCCAAGTTCAGTATAGTTTAACGTAGGCCTTATGGTCCTGAATAGTGGTTGATCAAGGATTTTGGCTCTACTCAAGGGTAGCCGGGGGGTCGTGGTTGGGTCCAAAACTTAAGCTTACCCTAGGGGTCCCAAGGACCTATAGTAATTAGGTACTTGGTGTGTGGGCTAGTAGTGTTGTAGACTATATGCTTATCAGTACTGTCCCCTAAGCCCCTGACGTCGAATTGTGAACATTGCGCTCTGGGGAATTGGATGTTCAAGAGCTTTCCAGCCGGCATGCAGTGTTTTTAGGGACTTGAGTCAGTGCTTTTGGAGCACTTGACTGCATGGTCATATGGATGCAGCTAGGTTTCGAGCATCTATAAAGTGCGTTGACTTTCGCTTATGTATAACCCCACGCTCCCCCCCCCCGCCACCACATGTTTCAAGAACATGTCAGGCTGCGTTGAGACAAGGCCTCGGCAGGAGACTCGACATAAACTAGGATGCCCAGTAGTACCCTTATTCCCTTTTTGTAGTCCTAGGTTCCTTATAAAGTTACCCAATACCAAAAAGAGAGGCCTTGTCATTCTTAGGTTACTGGGTATCCTAGTAAACGGTAGTTGATGAGTGCTCGAGGCCGCCAACGGTACCTCTGACCGGTTCGGGTGTCGGGCCCCGAGATCGTAAGCAATGTCACATTTCTGAACACCCGGTGATAGCTGTGCTTCCAGCGTAGATCCCTTTACATTCAGATACATATATATATATATATACACACACATAAAGAATATGTACTAATATTTATATATATATATATATATATATATACACACATATTATATACCCTAAACCCCAAAACTCCTAAACCTTGCACCCAGAAGCTCCCTCAACCCCAGCCCTTCTGCCAGTGCCCTGAAGACTCCAAGAAGGATGTTCCACCACAATTCGCTTTGCAAATTTCGTCCTCAACCCTGCATGAGTTTGGGGTAACCTGAATACCCTGAGTTTCTGTTGATGCTCTGTTTTACGGTTTAGGGGTTTAGGGGTACAGGGTTTAGGCTTTACTAGTTGAAGGATTAGGGGTGGTGATACTTGCGAGTTTCCGAAAATAGGGCACCCTAACTTAGTACCCTAGGTAATAGGATCCTTGTTGTAAGGACCCCGATTTCAGGTACCCCCGAATTATCGGAAACTCCCACTTCTCCATACCATGTTTTCGGTGACCTCATAGCCTCGACACAGTACATCGAAACCACTTTTTTGACTTGCCCATAGGTTCCATAGTAGTTCCTTTTTGGGATTACGTACCTTGTAGGATTCTAAGTATGAACTCCAAAAAGGAATTACTATGGAGCCTATGGGTACTAGCACCGGTTCTCACACAGACGCAGTCCTCAACCACGCTCAAGGCATACCAGTGCTCGAAAAATCATTGACCAAACGAGTCGCGTTGCTAATCTACTAGAGGCGTCTTTGTCATAGTTGGGTAGTATTTAATTTCACATGTGTATGTATGTCAAAACCCATTAAGGAATAGAAGTTTAAGTTTCGAATACTAGCAGATGTAAATCTGGAGCAGTGTTCGTATTGTTTTTTGTTCTTTTCTGACCACACCGTCCAGGTTAGCTTCGATGAGCTACAAATAGAATTCAGATGTGATGTCCTGGCCTTGGAGCGACTATGAACCTATCTATGACTCGTGAGAGAAACAGTCCTAAACCCTAAACCCCTAACCCTAAACCCCTAACCCCTAAACCCCTAACCCTAAACCCTAAACCCTAAACCCAAAACCCCTAAACCTTTTAAACCGTGGGAAGCTGAAGTCTCTGACGACAACACTTGAGCAGCAAACCACACACTCACTCAACTTTAATTTTTTATGTATGTCTTTAAACAGTTTCCTTTAAAGGGTTCTATAAGGGATACTATAAGGGTACTATAGTATAGGATTTTTAGGGTTGATGGGGCCTCGACCGACAAGCTAGGAGCACCGAATCTAGAATGGGAAATGACACACCAATCAAGTGCTACTGTTAAGGCCAAAATCCCAATGCCCACTCTGAACCCCCAGACTAAAAAACCCTACTATACGGGCCTAAATATTTACCAAAACTATTCTGGTGGCTTGTTAATAGAATTGCAGTATAATGAGCCCCAAAACTGTAAATGCCCTTCTAGTAGAAGAACTCGCCCAGGTGCAGGGGTTGCAGGACTTCTTTACAGACGAAGAGGATCCCGATTAAGGAATGCTGTTGTCCTCATACTTTGTGTGTTTCTAGCCGGGATACCGCCGATCAGGGTAAACCGCAAGCCGCAACAGGATAACCACCCAAGTCGAACAGAACATAATGCAGAATATAGTCGTCGGAAATAATTGGCAATCATATCCCTTGACAGTCCCTGCTATAGTACCTCTTGTCGCCGTGAAGCTCTCCAATGTGACCCGTCAACAGGGAAGTCGGCACCCTCAGCATGCAGCAAACACCCCAAAGGGCCCAAGTATCATTACGGTATATACTTAGAGTATCATTATGGTATATACTTAGATCCCTGAATACTCTATGTACAAGTATATACCATAATGATACTTGGACCCTTTGGGCACCAATCCGACAAGGTTGGAACTAGCTCTGACACGTATGTCCTCAACCCTGGACCCTGCAACCCTGAACCGTGAATGTGCTTGCAAGACCGATGTACAAATCCACAGCCCCTGATGAAGCCTAAACAACATAAAAGCTAAACCATAATTGCCCATACTACTTTGAGGGTTCCTTACTATCACTATTGTAGAATGGGCCCCAAAGCCCTATTCTAATTCTTGAGGCCCCTGTAATACATCCCAATAGTACCCCTTATAGTGATCCTTATAGTCCCCCTTAAAGGAACCCTGTACATACCTATTCTACTTAATAAAGGCCCCATAATACATCCCTACAGCGATCGATCCTGAACCCCAGCCGAGAACAAAAGTTCTGCAGCCCGATTTATTTAAAGGCCCAGGGGCAAGCAAGGCCCCAAAGACCGTAAAAGGTTCAGGGTTTGGGTTGGGTTTAGGGTTTCGGGTTTAGGTTGGGTTTAGGGTTCAGGGTTTGGGCTTTAGGGTTTGGGTTTAGGGTTTGGGTTTCGGGTTTGGGGTTTGGGGTTCAGGGTCTGGGTTTAGGGATTGGGGTTTAGGGTTTAGTGCTTATCGGGTTTGTAACATCCTGACGTCTTGAGCCAGAAAGCCCCTCAAAACGCAGAAATCGCAAGCACACGAAGAGCTCACGAGAAGAAGACTGGAAGGGAAGCTTGAAGCAAATCTGAAACCACACCCGTGAACATCACAACAGAAATCTTTAACACACACGCAAATATACAAAGCCAAAAGCCACGCATACACAGGCCACACATATCTAGAACAATATAGGCGGGCAATAACAGCCACAGCCCTTATACAAACCCATACAAGGATTCCTGCTTAGACATTTAGGACGCTAAGCCCAACACTCGGGCCCAGCACCCTAAGACCTCGAACCTCAAACACCTGAACCATCCTACACCTCAAGGCCACGACGGTTTAGGGGTTCAGGGGTTTAGGGTAGGGCTTAGGGTTTAAATCCCCGAATCCTTAGACGACTCTCAGAAGCACCTCTATAAAACCACGGATAGACAAAACCAAAGCGCCCTGCGAAGGACAGTTCGCCGCTTGCACCGAAGAAATCAGCCAGGGCCCAAATGCTCGATCGTGTTCGCTTTTGGTCAGGGATAGGCCGTCCCTAAACCCTAGGTCTAGGGGAACAGGCAACAAATCTGAACTTCACAGGGTTCGAAAGTGGTCCAGAGGCTTGCTGACGGGGTTGAGCTTTGTGTTCGATTTCTGTGTTGCAGGGTTTTAGTACCCTTAAGTCCCTAAACCCTACGTATTTTTTACGGCTTCGTAGGTCTTGTTCAAACAGCCTTTAACACGCCATGGCACCCCAAAGCCTTGCTCCAACACCCACACCCTTAAAGGGTCTGAGAAAGACAACCACGGGGCAAACTAAAGCATCTTGCCAACAGAAGGTTTCAGATAGGGTATTTGGGTGCAAGCGATCTTCTTTTTTGGATCCCATTAAAGACGGTTTCCATTCCGAAGAATTCCACCTTCTAGATAATCTGGGGGCCTCAGTAGTGTTTTGGCAGACTGTACCATAGCCATAAGGGGGAACCTTAAGGGATGGTGTTGGTATTTATTCAGGCCCCAGTACAATCATAGTTAACAAGGAGCCTTCAGGAATAGTGTTGGTAATTTCAGAGACCCCCTGAAGGATCTAAAGAGCCGAACTCCTGTTCTAGGACTGTACTTCTAATCTTACGGAACTTCATCGGGCTCCCTGAAGGGATCTACTTGTTGGATCCTGCCCGGATCTGGGTATTCAGGCCCCGATCAACCCTAAACAGCAAACCCTAACCCCTCAACCCCTAAACCCTAAACCCCTAAAGCCCTAACCCCTAAGCCCCTAAACCCTTAAGCTGTAAACACCTAAACCCTAAACTCCTAAAATGGCAGGTGCCGCGGATCCCACTGGCGCCTCCAAAGAGGTCCAGAGACGTTGGCTTGCTTTCGAAAGTCTGGGGTTTTGGATTTAGGGTTTAGGGTTTAGGGGTTTGAGGCTTGGGTTTAGGGGTTTGGGGGCTTAGGGTTTAGGGGTTTGGGGGCTTAGGGTTTAGGGGCTTAGGGTTTAGGGTTTGGGGGTTTAGGGTTTAGGGTTTAGGGCTTTAGGGGTTTAGGGTTTAGGGTTTGGGGCTTAGGGTTTAGGGGCTTAGGGTTTAGGGGTTTGGGGCTTAGGGTTTAGGGGCTTAGGGGCTTAGGGTTTAGGGTTTGGGGCTTAGGGTTTAGGGGCTTAGGGTTTAGGGGTTTGGGGGCTTAGGGTTTAGGGGATTAGGGTTTAGGGTTTAGGGGTTTGGGGGTTTAGGGTTTAGGGCTTTAGGGGTTTAGGGTTTAGGGTTTGGGGCTTAGGGTTTAGGGTCTTTTGGGGGAGTGGAGGAGTGAAGACAGGGACTACTGGAAGGAATGCTTATGGAAACTAGTTGCTATTGAAGGGATCCACCCTACCACTCCCCCCAATGCATGAGTAAGGCTACGGTTCCAGAGGCAAAGGCCCAGAGCCCTGAAAGGATCCTTCCTTGTATTGTTCAAGGACCCGATTCACTTTCACATGCCTAGACCCCAAAGGGCAAGTCCTCCAAAACCTCTGCATAGACCCTCGGTATAAGGAATGGAAATGGGAGCTTCCGAAATTAAGGGTACCTTATTTTGGGGTCCTTACAATAAGGATCCTACTATTCAGGGTACCATATTAGGGTCCCCCCTCCCAAATGGAAGGGTATAGTTATGTGTCAGCAAGCCGCTAGGAATTTGGAAGGTTCTGGGTGAGAACCTTTGTGCTTGTGGCGCTGTCAGAGGTTTCAGATTTGAGCAGAATCACTGTTTGGAGTCGGGGTTCTTGGGGAACCTGCACCCCTAAACCCTAAGCCCACAACCCTAAACCCTAAAAGCCGAAAAAGCCCTATAGTACCCGTTAAAACCCTATAGACCCCATATAGCCTGTAAGCCCTAGAAACCCTAAGCCCTAAACCCAGCCCAGAGCTCGGCGAGGCCCCAGAGAGCGGAGGCCAAGGAGCAGATCTCGAAGCCGAGGCTTCCATCTTCGACCTCGCAGAGCTGGGAAACCCAGGACAAGTAGAGCTTTCAGGTAGGGGTAGTTTTGGAGTTTAGTGTGTGGTAATTTGGGGCCTTTTGGGGGGTCAGTGTTTACAGGTGGTTTTGGAGTTTAGGGCCGTTTAGGGTTTAGAGTTTGGGGGGTAAGTTTGCACAAGCGACACACTTTACCTTTCGCCGAGTGCACCCCATATCCGGAACCCAGCAACCCTAAACCTGAAGCCTTGAGCCCTGATGAACCTGAACTCTACAGCGAAGCCCTAGACCCCAAACTCCGAAACCCTAAAGCCCTGAATACGTAGTACCCTTGAAGGAACCCTACAACCCTAAAGCCTAAAGACCTTACTCCCTTGAAGGAACCCTACAACCTGTCGCCTCGTGGCCTAGGCTTCTTATCAGACAGCGACTCCGATGCCAAGGACCCGGGGCTAAGGAGCCTAAAGACAGCCGGGGCCTCCCTGGGGGGTCCCTTGATGGTTCCTTTAAGGGTTAGTGTAAGGTTCCCTGAAGGGCGTCTTGAGGGCACTGTTGAGGGTACATGAGGGCAGTATTGGGGTTCCTTCCTCCAGGCGTGGCAATCAGGGTTTGGGCCGAGGGCGCTACCGTGTTAGTCTGAAGTGCTGCGAGATCCTACGAGCCGACCTTATGTTCCGAATGTAGGGGACCCTAATATAGCACCCTAAATAGGATCCTTATTAGAAGGACCCCAAAAGGAAGGTACCCCTAATTCTCAGAAAGTTTTGCAGGATGGACATGATTGTAGAATAGTGGCCTGAAGCATGGGTTTATCCTATGCCTTAGGGTTCCTTTGCCATATGAGAGTTTCCGAAAATAGGGGACCCTAATATAGTACCCTAAATAGTAGGATCCTTATTATAGGGACCCCCCAAATAGGGTACCCCTTGTTTTCGGAAACTCCAAACCCTAAACCCTATAGATCCCTTATAGGAACCCTTAAAGGAACCCTTATAGATCCCTTTAAAGGTACCCCAATTTTCGGAAACTCCCATATTGACAGCAAAAGATACGACGAAGTCGAGTTCCGATCGCCAAGGCCCCTGTATGATACTAGCTGCATCTGCTAAGGGCCTAAGGCTTAGGGCGTCGTTACAACTACTAGGATGCCCAATAGTACCCTTATTCCCTTTTTGTAGTCCTAGGTTCCTTATAAAGTTACCCAATACCAAAAAGGGAGGCCTTTTTATTCTTAGGTTACTGGGTATCCTAGTTACATCTACTCAGGTTTAGGCTTCAGGATGTGTCTATCGTGCTCAAGGTTTCGAGGATCATGCCCGGAGCTTTAAGGATTTTGGGATTTAGGGTTCAGAAAGGTTTGGGTCAGTTCCACTCATCAAGGCCCTAATATTTACTGTATGATTCTGTCCTAGCTGTTACTGTTAAAGGCTTTGGGTTCAGGGTGTAGTTCGAGCTCTTTATAGGGTTTAGGGCTTTAGGGTTTAGGGTTCTGAAGAAGCATCATAATTGCACGAGGGAATCCACCATGCAGGTATGTCAAAAGCCAGTGTCCGAAATAGAAACACATTAGCAGCATGTCTTGAATTGCTGAGTTAATTATTAAAGCTTTCGGCTCGGATCTGTCTGCAAACGGCCATCGTCCAGAAAGCAAGCAAGCAACTGAAATGGCTGGCAGACCAGAGAATCTGTCCGAACTGGAAGTTGCTTTGCTAAGCCTGGAATCCCCCAGCAGAAAGTCTACCTTAAAAACCCAAAACCCTTAAAGACCCCTAAACCCTTAAAAAACCCTCAACCCTTAAAAACCCTAAAGCCTGAACTTTAAAAACCCTAAACCCTTCCTAAACCGAAACAACACCTTAAACAGCAATCGTGGCCCTTGCACCAACCCGAAACCCCAGAGGTCCGGTCCCATCAAACTCCGAAGAAGAAAGCATAGTAAGGTTTCGGGGTCGTGTTAAGGAATTCTTTAAAGGGGTTTCAGGGGCTTAAATCATTACATTTTTTTTTTGTTTGGGGGGGTCCTTGTTTTTTTATGGTGTACTGGCCCCCAAACCCTATTCGAATACATCTGATTATTAAGGCCCCTCGAGTAGATAACTTTATAACCCCGATGCTGTAGGCTGCTGAGTCCTGAAACCGTTACAGAACCCTAAATTCCTAACCCTCAAACCCTTTCCTTCCCTGCGAGTCTCCACCAGCCCGCAGCAGCACCATGCCAATCCTGATGGAGGATCGATGACCGAATAATTCTGTAGTAGCGGTTTAGTAGTTTTGTAGGAATGAGTTTGGCGGGATAAATGATCACTCAGGAGTTATTTGTAGGCTAAGGACTCACGTTTTCGAGGCTTTCGTGCCCCATGCCTACAATTCAGGAAAGCTAGGATGCCCAGTAGTACCCTTATTCCCTTTTTGTAGTCCTAGGTTCCTTATAAAGTTACCCAATACCAAAAAGAGAGGCCTTTTTATTCTTAGCTTACTGGGTATCCTAGGGAAAGGCTTTTGGGCGACTTGGATCCCAGGAGGGGCCTTTTGGTTCAATCGGAGTTTGGGGGTTCGAAGGCATCAGTGCACTGTTTAGAGTTTAGGATTTAGGGTTTAGGGTTTAGGGACAGCTGGTTTTTGGTTTGGGGCTAGAAAACTCGGGCTTCGGATCTAGTATTTAGGGGCTGATGTGGTTTACAGGTCTCATGCAAGCGTCACTAACATGAGCGCTTCCCAAGTTGCTGGACCCTTTACTCGCAGCCCGAAGCCTGCAGAAACGCTATTCCCTCCGCCGGAAGATTCTGCAAGGAGGGCGAGGATCGGGTCGAGGGTTCGTTGCTTATGTGCAGGTTTGTTTTTTTTCCTGGGGCTTGACGAGTTTAGGGTTGAGGGTTCTGAAGGGTTTATGGCTTGGTGAAGGAGCTCAATGTAGAAGCCTAAATAGTTCCCTATCCTCTGCTGGCGGTTCCTTATTGTAAGTATAGTATAATATACCCCCAAACCCAAACCCCATTCTGTTTACTGTGGCCCCTGTATTACCCCCTTATAGTAGTAGCCCTTCTAGTACCCTACCTATAGTCGCTCTTCGACAAGGAGCCGATCGACCTCTCTACATCCCCCATCCAGGAAGAGGCGCCTTCTTCGGTGCTTTCAGGATTTGGGGCCTTAAGACCTGGACCCTTTAAGTGTATGCCCTCAAACCCTAAACCCTAAACCCTAAACCCTAAACCCTAAACCCTAAACCCTAAACCCTAAAACCCTAAACCCTAAACCCTAAACCCTAGGAGCGCTTTGGAGAAAGGGGCGTCATTGCACTTTAAAAAAAGGCCTATTACAGGCCCTGGGGGTTGAGTTTGCGGCTCCAGGACGGGAGTGTAATGTAAGGGTTTGAAGAATCCATGGTGCCCTTACAAAATTGGGCTTTTTCACGGTTTTGGGTGAGGGTTTTGGGGTTTAGTTGAGGGGCCCAAAACCCTAAATGACTGAACCAGCCCTATTCTAGTGCTGCGGCTGCAAGGCTATAAATGATTCTTTCGGCTGTGCTCTAGAAGTTCTCACGGCTGACTAAAAATAAAGATTTTTCTACCGTAGACCCGGCCTACTTGCGCTCTTTTCCTTGAGCGCTCCAAGGCGAAAACCCGAAGCCTCGAAAGACTGATCTTACTTGACTAGGCGCCATGTTCGGGTTAGCTGGTTAGCTGTTCACTTCCTTGATGGCCCTTTACAGTCCCAGGTAATGTAGGAGCCTGATGAAGAACCCTGGCCCTATAACCCCAATTTATAAGGATTCATATAAGGGAACCCTCATAACGACCCAAGGTTTCTTAATCAGGTTCCTACATTAGTCCTGCATTACCTAATCATGATAGCTTTTACTTCAGGGCCTTCCGACAACGACATATCTAGCAAGGAAGTAAACCAATTAAACATTGCACCCTGGCAAGTCCCTCGCTGTTTCAGGTATTTTTTCTGGTTCTTAGGGTCCATGTAGTCCCATGTTGCAGGTTACAGTATGTACATTGATTGGTCTTAAAGTAGTCCCTACATGGCTACTTTAGGGCCAAAGTATATGCTGCATGGGTACATGGAGGATCAGGGGACTTAGTAAGTAAGGTTATAAGTTCCCTAATTGGGGTTATAAGTGATTAGAAGTATAGTTACCTTGTTTATAACCCTAGTTACTAAGTCCCATGATCCTTTAAGTACATCGACCCTCAGGGCAAGTGCTTGGCTAATTAAGGCGGCAACACAGACCGGTTAATCGCAGTTCGTGATGTTTGCTCTATTGTTGTGTGGCTATCGGATCCTTTTCGCATAGTTTTGCTTCGCGAAACCAGTCTCGGGAAAGTTTAAGAGGACCCTGCGAACGAATAGCTGCGAGGAGTTTAAAGCTGCAGGCACAGCGCAGACGCTGCGGCTTTACATAATCAAGCCCTCTCTCCGACAGCTGCTGTTCTTAAGCCCTAGATGTACGACCTTCAAAGTCAGGTCAAGCATAAAACCGTCGGGCGGCCTGCAAAATGTCGATTACAGTGGAGGTCGGACTGCTCAGTGGCAAGACAGCTACTGTGCAAGTGGGCTTGGATGAAACTGTGGAGATGTTGAGACAACGGGCGCAGATCGCGCTCGGAGTCGGGAAAGGGCTTCTGGTGGACTCACGCGGAGACTTTCTGGATGGATCTGCCACGATCAGCGAAGTGAGAGTTGAGAATGGTGATTCTTTGATCATGCAGCTGAGAAGAGTTCAAGTCCAAACAGCATGTGATGCTTTTGCTGCTGTGCTTGGTGATGGATCTGTGGTGACATGGGGTAATGTTGCGGCTGGTGGCGACAGTCGTGCTGTGCAGGGTCAGCTGAAGAATGTTCAGCAGATCCAAGCCTCTCGCGATGCTTTTGCCGCCATTCTCGGCGATGGATCCGTCGTGACCTGGGGTCTTGCTGACAGTGGTGGGGACAGCAGTTCTGTGCAGGATCAGCTGAAGAATGTGCAGCAGGTCCAAGCCTCTGACCGTGCTTTTGCTGCCATTCTGAGCAACGGATCGGTTGTGACATGGGGTGATGCTGAGTATGGTGGTGACAGCAGTGCAGTGCAGGATCAGCTCAAGAGTGTGCAGCAGGTCCAAGCCTCTGACCGTGCTTTTGCTGCCATTCTGAGCAACGGATGGGTTGTGACATGGGGTGATGCTGAGTATGGTGGTGACAGCAGTGCAGTGCAGGATCAGCTCAAGAGTGTGCAGCAGGTCCAAGCCTCTGACCGTGCTTTTGCTGCCATTCTGAGCAACGGATCGGTTGTGACATGGGGTGATGCTGAGTATGGTGGTGACAGCAGTGCAGTGCAGGATCAGCTCAAGAGTGTGCAGCAGGTCCAATACTCTATCGGCGCTTTTGCTGCCATTCTGAGCGACGGAACGGTTGTGACCTGGGGTGGTGCTCACTCCGGTGGTGACTGCAGCGCAGTGCAGGATCAGCTGAAGAATGTGCAGCAGGTCCAAGCCTCTGACCGTGCTTTTGCTGCCATTCTGAGCAACGGATCGGTTGTGACATGGGGTGATGCTGAGTATGGTGGTGACAGCAGTGCAGTGCAGGATCAGCTCAAGAGTGTGCAGCAGGTCCAATACTCTATCGGCGCTTTTGCTGCCATTCTGAGCGACGGAACGGTTGTGACCTGGGGTGGTGCTCACTTCGGTGGTGACTGCAGCGCAGTGCAGGATCAGCTGAAGAATGTGCAGCAGATCCAAGCCTCTGGATGGCCTTTTGCTGCAATTCGTTGCGACGGATCCGTGGTGACCTGGGGTCCTGCTGATGCTGGTGGGGACAGCAGTGCTGTGCAGGGGCAGCTTGTGAATTGCTGCGATTCTTGATGATGGATCCATCGTCACCTGGGGTGATGGTGAGTGCGGTGGCGACAGCAGCGCTGTGCAGTCTCAGCTGAAGAATGTGCAGCAGATCCAAGCCTCTGAGGGCGCTTTTGCTGCCATTCTTGACGATGGATCCGTTGTGACCTGGGGTGATGCTTACGAAGGTGGTGAACACACTGGTGGTCCAAGCCGCTGACCGTGCTTTTGCTGCCATTCGCAGCGACGGATCGGTTGTAACCTGGGGTGATGCTGAGTATGGTGGTGACAGCAGTGCAGTGCAGGATCAGCTCAAGAGTGTGCAGCAGGTCCAAGCCTCTGACCGTGCTTTTGCTGCCATTCTCAGTGACGGATCAGTTGTGACGTGGGATGATGCTGAGTACGGTGGTGACAGCAACGCCGTCAAGTATGAGCTATTCACCGTTTAGCAGATCTGTTTCCGGGCCTTTTGGCCCTGACAGCTGAAGCACTGCAAAAGCATTTGCCAAGACACTGCCGAAGCGCTTGTGGAGGGCAGGCGCAACCCTGATCCTGAACTCCTGCTACGTAGGCCTTGGGGACATAGCATATATTTTTATTTTCAAGGTCCGAGGAGGATCTTATTTGCGAAAAAATCAAGTGCTTTAAAGGGCCAACCCAGCCTAAAGCATACAAACCCTCTTAAACCATATCAGCCCGATAACAGCCTTAGACATGACATGCTAAATTACATACAAAAGAAGGAAGCAACTGACATGACCACAAAAGGATTTCGAGTTGTCCCAAGATAGAAAGGCTCCCAATCTTTGGTTTCGGGGTCCTCTACGGGCTGAGTATGTTTGTGGAGATCATAGGAACATACCATACCTATAGTCTCCATTGTAGTTCCTTTTTTTGGTTCACCAAAAACTCTATTATAGGATCCTAACCATAAAATTGGTTAACCAAAAAAGGAACTACAATGGAAACTATAGATACATGTAGCCCGTCGCCAGTCGCCGATACAGCCGCAGTCGCCGCTGCAGCCACATAGCGCCGATCTTCAGTTGGCCCCGGTGCGGGAGCCAAGGGGTGGGGTTGGGCCGGGTGGGCCTCAGGGTAGATTTGGGAGAGAGGGTACGGTGGTAGGGTATGGATCGGCATAGCTTCCGCTTACCTTCACTCACCGTAGGCCCATTAAGGGCCCAAATGCCCATAGCTGCTGCATCCTCGCCAGCCTGGATTGCCGTGGGATGGTTTCTTGGCCACAAGACGACTTTTCCCCAGCTGTCGAGCGGTTTGGGTAAGGGCTTACCTAAACCCCAATACCTGTAAACGGCTATTATTCTACATACTTTGGGGTTCCAGGTAGGGGTCTAGAGAAGGCTTCAGGAGTTAGGAGTACCCCAGGACGCTCAGGTTCAAAACCAGGGGGTTAGCATGATCTAAAAGTCTGACACTAGGGGTAGGGGTAGGTGCAAGATTCCTTGGGATCGGGCTCAAGCAAGACCGAAGTGATCGAGTGTCCGGTGTTATGTTTAAGAGGTCTGGCTCCTATGGTTCAAGGTGTCGAGACAAGCATTGAGAGTGCTGGGGGTTGGTGGCTTGGGGCTTATAGGTTGAAGATCCGGACATGCACCCCTGAGTTGTAAGTTCAGCAATATTCGCTGCTTGAAGGCAGATTTACAGTTTGGGGTTTCTTTGGCTCTCTTGTTCCAAAATTTCGACTCTCGTGTGAAAACAACGGCTGTTTGCGTCGAACTTCGGAGCGACCTTCGGTGCGCCGCTTCAGTTCAACATCCGGAACGTCGAAGATCGAGATCGCTGGGGTCGACGGTGCCCTTCTAGTGCAAATGACCAAAATCCGATTAGCTGAAATATATGTCAGCTGTGGAGCTTTAGATGTACCCTAAACCGTGGCTACCATTCCTAAACCCTAAATGCTGAAGCCTAAACCCTAAAGACCCTAAACCGTAGCCCCTACGAATCATGCAGGCTTTTCCAAGACCTCAACCACCTCGAGGGGACTTCCAGAAGCCTCAGTGCGTGTATGTATGCATCTGCATTCTTATATGGGTAGTTGTCAAAATAGGGGTCGCTTTTGGGGTACCCTAAATCATATAGTATAGGTGCCATATCATATAAGGGACCCAAAAAGGGACCACAGTTTTGACAACCACCCATATATGTATACACATATAGCCGAAAAACATGCATCTATATTGGAACAGGGGGGTACACCCATATACATATGTATATATATATATATATATATGTGTATATATATATATATACATGTATGTTTACATACACACTCTAAACGTATATCTGGGTTCTCTATGCGTTAGTCGTGGAATCGGGTTCTAGAAGGGTGAGATCATGGATTCCACATGCCTGCTATAAGGATTTTTGTTGTAGAGCTTAAGGGGCTTCTAGACTGGACTACCCTAGACCCTAAGCCTTAAACCCTATATGTAAACCCTACGCCTTCCAAAGGCACAGGCGCAGTCCCGCGAAATGCGCTTCCCAACGAAGCCGGAGGTCGGCTGACGGGTCTGCAGAATCGGATTCCCCGACCGGACCTTTAATCTAAATATCTCTTCGGTTGAGGGTTTAGGCCGTTATAGGCCGCATAATAAAGAAACCTCGAAAAAAGGAAGAGGAGGGTAAACAGGGACGTCTGCTTCCGCCATAAGGCATAATCGGGAGGAGCTAGACCTGAGTCAACACCGAAGATGTTAGAGTGCTTTTGACTGTTGCAAGAGGCTTTCACGCTGTACTTCATGCAAGCATTTTGGACTTCTACAGTGATTCTGCAGACTGTAGACCTCAATGGTACGTTCCGAGGACACCCAACAAGATGCACGAATGTAGCGAAATCGAGGCTTTTCTTCAAGCCAATATCCCAAAGCTTATTCTACTTATTCAGCGCTCTCAATATCTTCAAAGGTTCGACTCTCAACATGGTCCCAAACCCCCTAAGTCCCTATGCCCCCAAAGCCCGAAGGCACCGGGCCCAGGAAGCCAACTCAAAGCAAATAAAGGCGCAAAGGACCCTCAAATCCAAACGAAGCAAACGCAATCTAGCTAATGGCAACAAAACCAAAACCTGAACTTTTTAAGCTTTAACCCTTAATAGGCCTTAAGACAATCAGAAACCTGTGCCCTTATAAGCCTCAGCCCTCAATCCTTACGCATATAGGCCTTGGGCCCAGCTTGAAAATTCAAACCCGACAGGATCCTGACAAGCATGTTTTCTCTATTGTATTGCATCTGAAACAGTTGATAGTAAGGCATATAAATAGTATACTGTACTGTACTCTACAAAACTGCATTATATTGTAATTGTATTGTGCTAAACTGCACTGTACTGTACCATACCGTACTATGCTGCACAATACGGGGCGATGCTGTACCATACTGCACTTTGTTGTTCTATGCTTTGTATGTGTGTAATATATATATATATATATATATATATATATATATATATATATATAAACTATACTGTGCTATGTGTACTACACCATATGATATTATACTATACTGTTCTATAGTACTTGCACTGCACTGCTCTGCGCTGGACTTCACTATTACAGAACATTGATACGATATAGTGAACTAGACTAGACTGGAGACAAGGCTCGACTTTGTCGTATTAGACTATTCTACTCTTCGATCTCTACTATTCTATACTATACTCTACCCTAAGGGTCCAAAGGACCCATAATTAGGTACTCGGTTTTAGGGTAGTAGTTATGTGGGTTAGGGTTTTGGAGAGTGTATTATTATTCGGTGCTTTGACCCTAGGGGATACTATGCTACAAATGACAATGTGCGGAACCTCAAGCTAAAAATCTTCACCCGAAGAGGCTCGGTCGCTGCAGAGCAGCCGCGAAGACTCCCCCAAGCGGCTGGTGACACTGCAGCGAGCTCGGTGCTTTGAGCTTTCTTCCTCCGGGTGCCTTGGTTTTTTGATTAGGGTTTAGGGTTTGGGGTTTAGGGTATTTAGGGGTCCTTTTTGGTGACCTAAAACAGGACTTTAATCTGGACGACTACCCATGTTGTGGACCTTTAAGAAAGGGGCGTGAACATTGAGAGTGGGGCTTTATAGGAGGTTGTGTCGAGCCGGGGCTGTAAAGATTGCAACCAGGTTTCGGGGTAGATTTCGGATTGTTGTGCTTTGGTTTCATTGGACTAGAAAGGGGCATTGGGGCCCCATAGTAGTTTTCCTTTTGGGGTTCATATTTAGAATCCTAAACGGTATCACCAAAAGGAACTACTATGGTATCCACTGCATATGTTTAATACCCCCTAGTGGAGGCTTCTGGGATGTAAATAAGGAATTCTAACCCTTGGATCTACCCTGGAGTATAGGGCTTAGGGAGGTTTCGGGGTAGGGGGGTTGGGTTTATCGTATAGGGTATTGGCATGGGGTTTCGGGTTTCGGAACACACTCAAAGCCCGCAAACCCCATATACACCCCTTTATATAATGAAGCCCAATAAGGTAGGGGTATCCCGATAAAATGCTTATGCTGACGAACCTTTTTGGTTCCCGAACAGGGAAGTGTTGGCCTGAACCTTCATCCCTGAACACCAAACCCGAAATTCTTGGGACTTCGGGGAAAAAGGGGCGCACAAAAAAAAAGAAGCCGAAGCCCTTTCGGGTTTAGGGTTTAAAACCCAGTGCCTAAAGCCGGCATTTGCGAGGCAGCCGCTGCCTGAAGTGTCACTATTTGTGGACGCAGCGGAGGTCGGATAGGGGCTTCCTGTTTTGGTCATCGGATGATGCAGGGCTTTAGGGCTTTAGCTAGGGGTTTAGGGCTGCAGGGTTTTTAGGATTCAAAGTTTCTGGCCAGCTCAGGGTTGAAGATTTAGACTTTGTTGTTAAGAGTTTGCGGTTTCTGGGTGTATTGATACGGCTACAAGAACTCGCCGTCGCATTCATGCGATTGGTCAAACAGTTTGCTCCGCTGAGTCGATATCGAGCTGGAAGTACGGGCGCTCTCCCACACGCCACACCTTCTGCCAACTAAGTGGGCCATGTCGAAGTGGGAAAGGACAGCTGCTCTGTGTGCTCGTGAAGCGGTGCTGATAGTGTAGCTGCTCGAGTTCTTACTGTTGTAGACAGCACGGAGTCTGGGGGCTTGTCATGATACGCCGATTTCGAGCAGCCCTATCCTTGAGAACCCATGGTCAATGCTGCAAAGGCGAATTTCCGCAAATCCATCGGTGCCCCGTTGGCCAGCCGCTTTTACATGCTTGGCCCTGCGCGGACAATTTCGCTGCCGGCTTCGAACACGCAGGAGCAGTCGGTGATCGAAGTCTTACTGCGGATGAGAATGAACGAAGTTATCATCCGAGACAACTGCCACGTGGGGCCGGGTTTCATGCCGGGGGGCACGGCCGTAGCATTCCTCTCATAATTAACAAATCAGGCTTTATAAGGGTCAAGGTTTGAAGGGTTGAGGGTGCCGGGTTTCAATCTCATGTGCGTAGACATGATCAATCTACGTGAGTTCTGCGGGTCGTCATACACGGGATGATGTCTTCATAAAGGGTTTGGGTCTAGGTATAGTAAAGATTTTTTTTGACATCATTATTCCCTACAGTTCTTAGAAATGTACGGTTTCTTTTGAGTATTCTTCAATAGACAGCGAGAGTCTCAAGGCCCCTATGTTGCAGGGACATGCTCACTACGATCATCGTCAAAGACACCTGTCACATCAACATAGCCATCATCCTTCGTCTAGCCATCACCTTCGACGCCATCAGCATCATGACATTCCTCAAAATGCAGACAGCAAGCTGTATTACGTTTGAGACATCCCAGACTCCTATCGTGACTTCCAATCAGCAGGTATCATACCTGCCAAGTCTATTCACGGGTGGTTCCCGAACCCTAAACTTCAAGTCTTGCACCCCGAACCCCACACCCTAAACGATCAATCACGCCATACGCCCCGAACTCTGAACCCTAACCGCTAAATTCAACCCTAACTCATTGTCAGCTCGATCCTTGAACTGGAGTCCCTGGTAGAGGCTCTGGATCATGCCTTCGATCCTCCACCCAATCGCGCCAGGGTTCTATAAGGGACCCTAAACCCTAAACCCATGTACCTAAAGGTACTAAACCTCAGGCCGAAAACGGGTTGCAAGTTAGTTACTTTCGGGCCAGAGTAAGTATACACACGATACAGGTGCATCGACGGAATTTCTGTTGACAGCCGGCTACAGTGCGTTCCGCTTGACTATAAACACCATCCTTGCCTCAGGCTTAAAACCTCCGCAGTGATCTCGTAGCGCAAGTCTTAATCCTTGCAGAACTTCTAGAAGCTTGTAATAACAGAACCCTGAGAACCTTGATGGGACGTCTACGATTTATGAATCCTTTTCGGCGCTTTCTGAGACTGACGGCGCCACCACAGGCCACCCACCCCCCGCCAACGCCACAGTTTGATGTGACCGGGAGCAGCGCCCCCTCCTCAGCTCTGAGGCCAATGTGTAATACAGGGGCCGTAATAAGTACCTTATACTATTTTGGTGGTTCCTTAATGTAAATCTAGGATAATGCGGCCCAAAGCCCTATTCTAATTATCAAGGCTCCTATAGTACACTTGGGTACGTAGGTGGCTGATACTTCAGTACATAATGATACTCCTCAAGTTCCTGATAGTTCCTGTGTACTTGTGCTGTTATATGCCCAACCCAAACTTTGTGATTTCCGGGCTTCCTTTACGATCGGTGAGGCGTTGTCTCTGGTTTAGGGCTGAGGGCTTTGAGTTTGTACAAAGGCTTGGGCTTTAGGGTTTGTGGTCATTCAAGGTTGAAGGTATGGCATTTAGGATAAGTCTCGCGTCAGATGGCAGCATTTTGGGTCTGCTTGTTCAAGGACTATGTGATTGTCAGGGACTTGCACCCATAGGGTCAGGGAGCATGCGGGCTCAGGGTCGATCCCTAGCCCTTAAAGCCCTTGGAAAGGAACCCCATACATACAGACATGCATACATACATAAGCATCTGCTAGATGGCTATATCACGGTACGTGCGAAAATGGCATAGCCAGGAAGCCCGTGAGCAAACTCTCTTGAGCCGCAGTTTGATCCCACCTTCGCTCCTTATAAGGCGCCATCACCCGAGCTGACGCCATCTCCGGCGGCATCGCCGGCACGGGAGAAGGCCTGGCTTAGGGTTCAGGGTATTGATCCGATGGCCTGTGCTGTGCAGTTCGTATGCAATGAGTAGGCTTACGCTTACGTATACTAGTACTGTTACTGCATGTGAATTAGATCCTCTTATTAGCCGTGTAAGCATCAGTGGAAATATTACAGCCCTGTTGTTAGCTATTGGATTATTGGTATCATGTCCGTTGTGGTTTACAGGGCTTGATATTGCTGTTTTAGGACTTTGGGTTTAGGAGTTTGGGGAGGGGCTGTGACTAAGGCCCCGAGCCCCGAAGGTTCGGTTCTTAACCTTGAGTGCTAACGTACACAAATCCTAGGGGTTTGGGTCCCTGTTACTTCAATCTGAATGGTTGCTGTGTACCTACAACTCACTAGTCGGGCCCTTGCACACTTTGACAGATGCCCCTTTAGCTGCAACTTTACACCGTGAAACCTTAAAAGTGCTGAGATCTAAACCTTAGCCCCAAATCCTAAATGCAAAACACCTTAAACCCTTCAACCTTCACACCCATCCTCTAGCACCCCGAACCCTGAAAACCCCAAAGTGCCCCTTTGAGAGTCATGAGCCCTACACCCGGAACACACACACACAGAAGCCTGACAGGCACCCTCAATGGAACCCTCAAATCCCAAGCGCTGTGGTCCCACCTATATCACTATATCATAAACCATAAGCCCCAAATCCCACCGAAAGCCAAAAGGAACTCTACAAGGATCCCGGAAATGTCCCTTGAAGAAGTAAGTTCCTCCTTCGCCAGTCCTTCGCTTCGCCACTGTCTGATGCCTCCTGCGGTCGCATCGAGGCCCATTTGGGTGCACCGGGGCAGAGGGGGGGCGCGGGGGCTGGTACAAGTTGGCTTCCAGGGTTTTTTTAAAGGGTTTCTTTAAGGGGGCTCCTTTAAGGGTCCTTAAAAAGGCTTCCAGGGCCTCTTTAAAGAGCTTCTTTAAAGAAGCTCCTTTAAGGTTCCCTTGCAGGTTTCTCAAAAGTCAGAGAGGCTTTAGGGGTTTAGGGTCTTTGAGGGCTCCTTTAGACATGACCCTGTTTCATGGGTTCTTTAAAAGGGTTCCTTTCAATTTTCATGCATGTGGGGTAACATGGTTCCGAAGGGTCCAAAGAGCCCAACAAGTAGTTTAGGATAGCAGTAATGTAACTGTGGGGTACAATTTGGAAGTTTATGTGCTTAGATACCTCAAGCCCGAAGGACTCTAGGGTCATAGGCAGGGGCTGTAGGCACCTTTGCTGGGTCTCGTTTTTCTTGGGTGAGGAGGCCATGCTCACGAAGTCTGCGATTTAATCCATGAAGTACGCATACTGTTTAAACCCTGCGGATGTCGAAGGCTGTGAGACAGGCACAGAAGTTCTCAGCTGGAGGCAGAACTGCAACGCGCCAACTTACACAAGTGCAGCTACAGAGCCAGGGAAGTGTTTTTGAGTACGAAACCATGGGCTACAGTTACAACTGCCCGCAGCATGTGAGCCTGGTCAGACCCATAAGCTGCTTCTCAAAGCCGTAAATCCTGTTCAAACCCATGAGAGTTTCCACAGTGTCACACTTCCCAGGATATTCGTATCCTCAGAAGCCTCTGCAGCATCGAACTCTCACAACCATAAGACCCCAAGAAGACAGGATCCGAAGATGCTTCGCATCGAAGGCCCAAGCCCTGAGCTCGTCCCCGTTTAAGGGTTTAGCGTCTAGGGTGCAAGCTTCAACCTTTAAGCCGCCTTAAGCCCGTGAAAAACATGCCCGAAGCCTACAAATTGAAGCAACAACTTGAACCCGAAGCTCAAAAACCGGATCTGAACGCTAAGCTAAACGAAACACCGCCCAAAGAAAACGGCCCAAAAACCCTAAACCCTTACAGACGACCCTCAACCAAGAAGACACAAGTACCACCTTTGAAGAAACCCTTATAGTGCCCTTATAGTATCCTTCTAAAGGAACCCTAAGGTAGCCCTAACTTTCTTATTAACGCCCTGAAGCCCTCTGTGGCAGGACCTGGGGTCTTCTCCTTCGGAGGCCCAGACATCCGGTCAAGACGCAAATCCAAGGAGTTTCTTTAAGGCCCTACTGCTGATGGACAAAATCCTGCATGACCCTAAGGACTCTAAACTATGGGAACTATGGTATGTTCCTTATAAAGGGTAATGCAGGATTTTGTCCATGAGCAGTAGTAGTCGAGTAGGTAACCATCAACCTTTTTGGGTAGTATAGTCCCTATATAATCCGTATATAACCAGAAGGTTAACCTTTAGTTCCCCATGATACCCGACAAGTGAGAGGCAGTGTAAGGGTGATCTTGTTTGAGGTTTCCTTTTAAGGGCTTCTTTAAGGCTTAAGGGTTCCATCCGAGGGTTCTTCTAGGCTTGGGCTTGTCAGGTCAAGAAGGTTCCACGTGCGCTCCCTCAGGGTTCTCTGAGGGTTTTTGTAAGGTCGAATGGTTGCAGAGCTCAGGATTCAGGGTTTGTTGCTTTGAGGGGTTGAAGGCTTCTACAGGCTATAGTCCATAACGCCGGAAAGCCGAAACGCTAAATCCTGAGCCGATGATGGACTCCCTCCCAACTCCTGAGTTTCAAATCTGGAGCCCGAGCCGAGAAGGAGGCTTGAGATCTACCTACTGTATTATAAGTTATAGTACATGCTTGTGACTGTTGCGGTAACATGCGTACATACCTTCTATACCAACTTGGGTGAACTTCGTGAACAAGAACCCAGTTTCGGGTTCAACTGGGTTCCTGCGAAACAGTGTACCCATAGGCTCCACAGTAGTTCCTTTTTGGGGTTCATATTTAATTAGAATCCAAAAAAGGAACCACTAGAGAGCCTATGGGTAGATGGCATTTCATTGTTGTCTTGATCTCGAGGCTCTCCGGGTTTGTCCCTCGCATGCCCGATTTATGCTATCAGACTGAGCAGCCGGAAGAAGTCTGTGTTGTTTATGTTTTGGCGGAGACTAGGGAAATTGGAAAAGCATCAAAACATAGTTTTAACCAAACCGTGAGCAAGCCTAAACCCTAAACCTTAAACCCTAAACCCTAAACCTTAAACCCTAAACCCTAAACCCTAAACTCCTAAACTCCTAAACCCTAAACCCGCATACGTTGAGAGGGAACTGGGAAACCTAAGACCTGAGGCCCGAGGTCTCTGGTGCATGCCGGTCGCAAAGGGAATCCGCGTGTCATTCTTCTGGGGCTTATACCTGGACCCCCAAAAGTAGGTAAAATATTGGCCCAAAACCTATACAAAGGCTATTATTCTACATGCTTTGGGGTCCAGGTAGGGTCTGGGGCGGTTTTCGGGGCGCTCACTTAATGGTTCCTGTCGGCTCCATGATTCCACCAGGCTGCTGCCACCACAACGGCCAGCTTGGGCGCCTTGCCATGCTAGGGGTACAAGGTCATGTCTCATACTTTCGGTTTGGTTAACAAGGCTTGGCGATTGATTTTGAGTTTTACATGGATCGGATTATTAGGGTTCAGGGTTTAGGGTAATCGGGGATAAGATCCGAGTTTGGGTTCGGGGCTCAAGACTCAAGACCCTGAGTACTAATACGTCCCCAGGCCACGACTTCTTGCTTCGAATTTGCAGTGAATGTACCATTGGAAGGCACACTTCTATAAACCTGTAAACCCTATAAGTCCCAGGCTCTAACCCCATGGGTCCAAAGGAGCCAATAATCAGGTATTCGGTTTTGAGATAGTAGTTATGTAGGTTAGGATTTTGGAGAGTATATGATTATTTGGTACTTGGACCCTTGGGGTAATGCCCCTAAACCCTAAACCGTCAACCCTAAACCCTAAACCCTAAAAACCCTAAAAGTCCCAAGCTCTAATGCTTAAGAACACCCTCAGGTGTGGCTTCCAGGAGCATTGCAAGCAACGGAAGCCCAAGGCGCACGTTCACCCGCTGGGTTCGAGCATTTGGAGTTTCGGTTCTGCAGGATTTCGGATTTAGAGCTCACTTTTCAATTTTTGCGTTTTAGGATTGGTGCTTGTGATGCAGGGGCTGCAAGGGTGAATGGAAGTTGGGGTCAGGGTTTCGTCTAAGGGTTTGACATTTGAGACGGAGGCGGTTGAAGTTGAAGCATGAACCAGGCAACAGCCCCGAATCCGGTAGGTTTCGGCAAAACTATTTGGACTAGGACCCAGAGTAGGCCCTTATTCCCTTTTTTAGGGTTCAGGTTCCCTTATAAGCCCCTTTAAAGCAAAAAGGGCATCCTTTGTATGCCTGGGTTACTCTTGGGTCTAGTGGAGGTACTTCCTGAGGTTGAATGTCTACGTATTAAATGTGCATACTCCGATTGCAGGTCTGCTCAAAATAGTCCAGAAGTAGAACCAAGGGTTCATGTCAGGATTTCGGACCATCCAATCACTCTGCTTCAGATGTACTTGTGAGGTCGACCTCAGCGCTGAAGAGAGCTGCAAACCCTAAGCCCCAAGACACGATAACCCTGTAACCCGTATCCGTGAAGTCAGCCCTAAATCAGAAACAAAAAGTAGACCTTAAATCTTAGAAGTACTTGAAAAGGCATTATGGTCCGATCCCGATCTTTGAATCGTTCACCTTAAGCCGAATCGGGATTGAATCAGGTCGCCATTCAGTGAGGAGACACAGGACTTGCAACTGAAAGCTGTGCACAGAGTCTTGCATGTCCGAATTCCCGTTGTGCTTCGGGGCTTGGATGTTGATATGGTAGTTTCCGAAAATACAGGATCCTGCTATAGCACCCTAAATAGCAGGATCCTTATTTACAAGGACGCCAAAAAAGCAGATACCCCGTATTTTGGAAACTCCCAGATGGGTGGTTGTCAAAATGATGGTCACTTTTTGGGGTACCCTAAATATTAGGTGCCGTATCCTAACAGGGACCCAAAAAGGGACCCTAATTTTGACAACCACCCATACCCAGACCCCCGGGGAGGATCCAAAAAGTAGATCCCTTAATGGGGGTTCCTATAAAGTACCTTTGTAGTATAGGCCCTCAATGGCCTACATTACCAAAACCCTCAGAACCCAAAACCCCTAGAGCCCTACATTACTGAACCCCCCAAAACCCTCCCAAACTCCAAGGAACTCTTAGCCCCAAATGAGGGGATCTACTTTCTACACTAATCCCTAAACCCAATATACTGCAGATTCCTTTAAGGAACCCTGCTAGATCCCTTTAAAGGAACCCTTATAACGCCCCAAATTCGGGGATCTACTTTCTAGATCCTCCCGGGGGTCTGGGTATGGATCTTTACAAACCTCTGGGCTGAGAGTTGAGGACTAAACATATTGGGGAAAAATATTTTTCCCCAATATGTTTAGTGGTTCCTTCTCAGCTTTCCCAGGGTCTAGGGCCTTTAGGGTTTAGGGGTTTAGGGTTTAGGGGTTTAGGGTTTAGGGGTTTAGGGTTTAGGGTTTATAAGGTTTAGGGTTTAGGGGTTTAGGGTTTAGGGGTTTAGGGTTTAGGGTTTAGGGGCTCGGCAATCTACGGTTCAACATCGTATGTATAGATTGGGATCGGCCCCCGCCCAGCAACAGTGGGAAACTAGTTTCCCTATATATACCCCCGCAGAAAAATTGCTCAGGATCTATACAGTATGGATCCTGAGCTATGACCGCTTTGCTGTCTTGCTGTATGACGGGCTTCCTGAGCACGAGCTTGATTTTCAGAGCATTTGGAGGCCCTGCAAAGGACTTTGCTGCTTGCCGTGTTGCTCTGTCATCTGCGCGAATTTGGAGCATTCCTATAGTCTCCAGTGTAGTTAAAACATGTTTTGGGGCTTAACCAAAAATATAATTTTAAGGTATCCCCAAAAAGGAACTACAATGGAGTCTATAGGTTGTCCCTACACGCCGAGACCTGCAAGCCAGTAGATGAAACTGACTTAGCCCCTAAGCCAGCGCTGCAGTCTACTGCCTATGAACGATGAACCCTAGATGTGAGAAGGGACACCTCGAGACGATCCCGATATGCGCTGGCTCGTTTTTCGACCTACCCCTTACTGCCATGCAAAGAGTTTTATCTCGAAGGGCCCTTGCATGATAGTGTTGGCCCAAGGGAACATGTCCTTAAAGGAACAGCCGGCACCCCCCATCAAGGCATCCTTCTAGAAACCCGTTACGGGGGCACCTTCTTAGAACCCCATACACATGTTTAGCTCCATTGATGCCCCAGGACCTTTCGCCTTCGCCGCTGAAGCGGCAGCTGGAAGAGCTGGAGGACATGAGCTTCGGGCCCTGAGTAATTAGAATAAGGTTTTGGGGGATATTATACTATATAATAAGGAAGCCCCAGCATAGTATAGGTATATTTAGTAAGGCCCCTATACTACTTCTAAAGAGGTTCTGGCAGGTTCGTGTTTTGTGTGTTGATGACTTCGGTCGTCAGGCGTTCAGCTCTGCCCACTCTAAGAGCCAAAGTCATTCTGCGAAAATGTGTGATCCTAGACCTCGTACCTTAATCCATTTCTGCACGAGGTAGATAGCCGATCACGTCCAGACCTTGTTATATCGTCTTTGGACACGTAGCCCTTATCGTATGAATCTACACGTTGTGCTAGGTTGTTTCATATTTTCTAGCCGCTAGCCCGAGCCAAAGATGCGTGTCAAGGTGGTGTCGCTGAGTAGCTGCCTACCTCAAGCCCGCTTCTGAAGACACTGAACAAACCCACAACCGTGGGGGAAAAGATGTCCATGAACACTTTGCCGGATACCTAAGCAGAAGCGCTATGCATGCACCAAACCCCAGTTGCTAGAACCTGTTTTGCTGATTCGCAGCTGTTGATGCCAAGTTGGCATTGGTCTCTGCAAAGTAGCACTCCCTTCGGAGCCCTACACATATATATATATATATATATATATATACCCTCGTGGCACAGTGGAACCAATAAAACCGAAGCCCCTAAACCCAAAAGCCTGCAAGAATCCTGGAAGAACAGGAGCAGCAGAGGCAGATCCAAAGCAGCTTGTCCCAGGCCCTTGCGCAGACGAGAGGAGGATCTTGGGATTCGGCTTTTTACGGTCCAGGGCCTGTACGGTGATAGCGTTATAGGGTTTAGAGGTTTAAAGGGTTTACGGTTTGGGTTGTAAAGTCATATAAGGGCGTTTGTTTAAGGTTGTTGTGTCGCTGTTCCACATGCCTGTCCTTGAAATTGATGCAAGGTAGGTTCTCTCTAAATCTCCGTACAGTGAAGTCGCATATTCCCGATCCTCAATCCGTAAACATAAACGTTTGGGATTTCGGATGTAGGGATATGATATATGTTGGTGCTCCATTTAGGGTTTAGGGCTTTAGGGATCTATGCTAGCAGGTCCGAAGCATCCCTGGACTGGAGGCTTGTAGACTCCTGGTGTCTCGCAGGATACCCCTTTGCCGCTCATTTCCTGTTGTTTTTCGGGTCTGATCGTCATCATCAATATCATCATCGGGATGATGTTCATCATCAACATCGTTGTCATTATCATATTTAAATTTAAATCATCGAAGCTTCATACGCGAAAAAGGGCAGTCTTCCTGTAAAGGAAGTACTTGGAGACTCCTACCCTGCCCGCGTGATGTCTGCCGGCCTCATGCAGACTTCGGAACTGAAACTCTTATCACTTCTTTTCAAAATGTTTAGGGGTGTAGGGTTCAGGGGTTTAGGGTTTAGGGGTTTAGGGCTTAGGGTTTATTTTTTGTCCGGTGCTCCCTAATTTGTTTGGGGTTTGTGGTTCCATACCTGGCTTGCTCAAGCTTTAGACCGAAGTCCCCAAACCCATTTACGCCTGCTGAGAAACTAGCAAGCTCTTCCCAAATCATTGAAAACCTTTACCAGTCGCCCCTCACTCTTCATCCCCAAGCTGCTGTAATCGTCGCGCGAAGGCGCTGGAGTACGAGCGGCGGCTCCGGGCCAGAAGCTTATGTGTTTTGATTTCAGTTGAATATATGTTTGTTCGGGAGTTTCATTTTACATAAGCTATGCTGTCGTGTGGGGTTCAGGGCTTCGGGATTGGGGTTTATGCCTTGACTTGAGGATGTGGGTTTAAGGGCTTCAGGGCTTTTACATTCAGTGAATCGCTACCTTGACTGGGGCATGCTAAGAACAGAATGGCATTGCGGGTCTCCGAGAGGGTCCTTCATCCCAGGATTTAGGATTGTTGACTAAGGTTTTGATGTCCGGTGTGAGATACTGAAGCAGACAGCCGTGTACCCCGAAGTCAACCGAGTTACCGAAACTGTTCAGCAATCATGGGAAATACTGCCTTAGGTTTAGTGCAATACCCCGTGGATGAATTTCCAAGCTTGTGCAGTTGACCGAGCTTTTCAGGACCACTACGCCGGAGATTCAAAAGTTTCTCTTGGACGACTACACGAAATTGAGGCGACCGGGGACCGACAAGACCGCCCGGCAGCTGCTGGAGGAGACACAGCAGCATCTCTCCGCTTCCTTGACATCGAGTGTTCATGCCTTAAGCCGATCTCAGATCCATCGAGACCGCGATAGCATCCCCTTCGTCAGCGACGGTTAAAAGTCTTGGTTTTGTGTCGCCTACCCTTCAAGGAGACGGAGAGTAAGGCATCCGCTTTAATCCCGAAACCCTGTTCCTCCTGTGCCCTTCTAGACTCCTGTAGCAAACCCTTACATTCACAGCACGAAGTCCTAAGTGATTTGCATTGGCCCCAAACCTTTAATTAGCCCCAGGCCATATACAGCCCAAAGTCTACATGTTTCAATTAGATCTCAGCCCCTTATCGGCCCCAAACCTGTGTCGCTTATGCCTTAAACCCCTAAACCCGACAGCCCAAACTCCGTCTTGGCGTGATCCGGACAAAGGCCGACGAAGTGGCCCGGTGCCATTCGCTCACAGCAGAGCTTCTGGAGGCGAGACTAAAGACTGACGATGTTTTACGAGGTTTAAGGGGGGTTTAGGGTGTTGGGTTTAGGGTTTAAGGGGTTAGGGCAGGCGTCGGTTCTCTTCTTCTTCTTCTTCTTATTCTTATTATTCTTCTTCTTCTTTCGGAGGTTTGTTTCATTAGGATGTGTATGGTGTTGAGGTTTCGTGACACTTTTTGGGGGTTTGTGACACAACGTTGAGAGTCTGCTTTGTTTCGGAAAGCTCTCACAGAGCCGTTTAGAGACCTTCGCGGACCTAGGCGCCTTGTAAACCGCTATCCGTTGGTCTCCAACTCCTGGCTTTTCCAGGCTTGAGGATGACTGTTGCAGGGTAGGTTCGTCTCGTTTACACAAAGCTTTCCTGGTACAGAGTTGCAGGCCTCCGGATTTGGAAATCTTCCGTTTTAAAGTCCCCGAAATCACTGACCTTTCGATATATGGCTCAACAATGCCCAGCACAATCACAGAGTCACAGCTGTTCCACGGTGTGTCAGGCTTTGTCGCTTCAAGCAACCCCCCCCATAAAAATCATATGCTCCCGATTTTCTCCTGGTGCCCTATAAACCCAGGTATCCAGGGTTTAGGGAGTATAGTTGAAACCTCAGGACCTTGGAAGCAAGCCGAGAATACAGATCCTTAATCCCTATGACATGAAGCCAAGAGCCTATATCCTGAAGCTGCTTTCAGCAAGACTGTAATTCCAAAGTCCTCTCATTCAGGCGCAATCCTGAAATCATGTTCCTCAAATTACCCAAACTCAAAATCTTGAATCTGTTGCTTAGTTCCATAATGGTAGTACTGTACAAATGGAGCTTCTTGGTCTACGAGGCTTTGGAAACCGAGCGCAGACGGCACTCCGAAGATATTCGCGCTTGGGAGTGGGGAGCCCTGTGCCGGGGTCTGGGGTGTGGGATTTTAGGGTTGTATTGCCGTGCCAGGTTCTGACGGGTTTTGATGCGGTCTGAAAGGGTGCAAAGATTCTAAAGGGTTCTGCAGAGTTTCTATGAAGGCATATGGGATTTCGGATTAGGAGGTCTGCAGCAGAGGCATCTACGGGTTTGGGGTACCAGATTGGTAGGGCTCTTGCTATGTAGCGTGTGTTGAGGCTTGATGTGTTTTTGGTAGGGGGTCAGGACTGTGTGGTTCCGACTTCCTGGCATCCACTGCGGTGTTTGGCGGGCGAGGGTAAGGTTCCGGCGTCTGGCGTTCATTTTTAGCTTCAGAGGGAAGGAAACACTCGTCCGGAACTTGTTGTAAGGCCCTTCTACCCCGCCCCCCAGATGGCTCTCACGAAAGTTGTCGTCAGGGTTCTGGAGCTTGCAGCTTTTGAGCCGGGAGGGCTTGCGAGTATGGTATTGCATTATCCATTTCACGCTTTCTGGAATGAAGGACCACACAAAACCATGAAGGATTGTTGCCCAAACCCCGCAACTTTTACTTCTGAAAAGCCCCTAATCAGCCCTAGAACCGGAACCCACCAACTAGCGTTTCAAAGCCTAACGGTAAGTAGAAACCAAAACCCTCACAGAAAGAAGTGCAAGATAAAAAAAACACATCCATCCATGTGGGGAAGGCTTCGGCTTCAGACGCAGCTGAACGAGCACGAGGCCAAGTGGCTTTCTGAGGCGGCGCCAGCTGCTACCTTTGGTGCGGGAAGGGGCCGGGAGGGGAGGTTGTGTTCTTTCAGGCAGGGCGGGAGTTTGGTGTTTTTGTTTTTTCGGAGCGGGTTTGTTGGTCAGCTTGTCGTCCGTTTTGTGCGGTGGCTTATAGGTGGTTGCGAAGGGTTTATGCAGGCTTGCAGGTCTTACAGGTGCGAGTTTTGGGTCCAACATTGCAAGGATCACAGCTTGGCGGCATGAAGGCCATCGTGGTCGTTGCAAATTGTTCTCCCGAATCCGGGGGCCCTCATAAAACTGTTCAGGGTGCTTTGCTGAAGGAGGAGCATTGTTGTGCAGAGCGACGTAGTAGATCCCCCAGAGCTCCCCCGCCCCGACAAAGGGCAGCAATCCCCAATGCCAAAGGAAGTTGCATAGTCCCTATACTCTTAAACCCTACACCCTGCATCCTGTAGACCGAGTTCTACATGTGAAATTCCCTATGTTACTTCGCAGCTGTTTTAGCAGCACATCTCTGCAACCACCATCGCCCGAGATGCCGCCGAAGTGACTTGGCCTGCAGCAAAGGCTGGGATGCAACGACAGCATATGGATGGTTGTCAAAATTATGGTCCCTTTTAATAGTTGCCGTATCAAAAAAAGGGACCCAAGAAGGGACCATAATTTTGACAACCACCCATATGCTTGTAACCATGGGAAATCAGAGCCAGAGACCCTGAACCCTAAAGCTGGAAAAGCAAAAACTGCATAGTTTGAGGATTACTGCTCAACAAAGGAATGCCGGAGGCTGTGAGTAACCTTATTCAGCTTGAAATCGGATTCTGAAGAATCCTTAGAGACCCCAAAATTTTATGCGTTGAGTTCCGGAATCCCAATGGCTCCTAAACACAAACTTCTCACTACCACATCGACACGCAGTGAAGCTGCAACCCTATAGTCACGGTTTGCTGTAGGGTTCAAGAGCACCCTAAACCCTAAACCCTAAACCCTAAACCGTTCGAAGAAGAACGACAGATTATCACGAATAGTTCTCTGTCTCCAGACCGAACCCCTGCAAATCCCAATCATCGTCAATGCTATCCCCCTAGGGTCCGAAGCCGTAGCCCCTACAACCCTCAAAAAACCTTGAACAACAACTCCACCCGAAATGCTCAGACATAACTGAAACTAGCTTAGAGCCTTGGCAAGACAAGCGAAAACACGACACAATGCAAAAGCCAAGCGTTGAAATTACATAACTAAACCCTCAAGCAAATCCCTATACCCAAAACGCCCTAAACTCATCCCCACCCACCCCCCCTCCCAAATAAAACAAAAAATGCTACCGAGGATCCCGGCCTGGGTCGCGGCCAAGGCCCGGGCCGGCGTGAAGGCCCGGGCTGCACCGAAGGCATCGGCCGCTTCCTGTTCCCCTTCGGGCCCCAAAGTAGTTCCTTTTGGGGATTACCCAATAGGATTCTTTATATGAGCCCCCAAATGGAACTACTTTGGGGCCTGAGGGTAAGGGTGTGGGCTAGTTAAGGGTGTAGGGGTTTAGGGTGTCGGAGTTTTGCTACGTATTGTTTTCGGATTTAGGCTTTCGGCTTCGGTATGTTCGGGCATGGGTAACCAAGGACATGAACCCTTCATGGTGGTTCGGGGCAAACGGGCACGTAAAACAGGGGGCTGTTGCGCTCAGGGCTTTGGCGTGCTGGGGCAGCAAGAGAAATAAACAAGGCAAGAGACAGAAGCATCTCGTCCTATCCCAACCGAGTTCATCCACGGCAACCCTAAACCCTAACTAAACCCCAAAACCTAGTAGGGGCCGAAATATTTTGGTGGTTCCTTAAAATAATGACAACTTAGCTTGGGCCCCAAAACCCTATTCTAATTGTAAGAGCTCCCATAATTTTAATAAGCCCTACCCAGGTGGACAGGATTTCCTGAAGGCAAAAACACGGTGCAGATTGGTAGAACGGCGGACTCGGCGCCCTTTTTGGTGGTAGTGGGGGCCGAGCCAGAAGCGTTCTTCCCAAAACCCGGTACTCATTGTGAGATCACCCCTATACCCATGGGCTCCAAAGCAGTTCCTTTTGGGGGGGTTCATATTTAGCATCGTTTCAGGTATTTCCAAAAAAAACTACTACGGAGCCTATGGGTAGATGTATTATGTGTATAGAGACAGCATGCAGCGCAATTCAGAAGCCTGAAGCCCAACAGGCCCTGCATGTTACACTCCGCTACACCTACCTGGACCCCCAAAGTATGTAGAATAATAGCCTTTTATAGGTATTGGGCCATTGTTTTACCTACTTTTGGGGGTTTAGGTATGAATCCCGTGACCCCAGCCCAAAGGTCTGGGCACCCACACAGACTTCCTACCATTCTGGGCCGAACTCGGTACGATGTTGGAACCCAGACCCCTAAACCCCAAACCCAAACCTCTGGACCATGCCGCAGCCCTTATAAATCTTAAATCCTAAACCCTATAATCCTAAACCCCAGACCCTAAATCACTTTGCGGCAGGCACGGCCGGAGGCCAAAGCCAAAGCCAAGGCGAAGGCGAAAGCTGCAGCTAGGCGAGGGCCTTTGTAGGTTCCCGAATGGTAGCCTGAAGGGCTTCCTTTAAGGATTCTGATGGGGTTTCGTTGAGGGTTTCTGCAAGAGTCCCCTCGCGGGTTCCTTTAAGAGTAGTGAAGTTGGCCCAGCTGTTTGTTTAGTTTTGTTTGTTCTTGTTCCTTGCGGTTGCCTTGTCAGTGCCGCAGACTCGAAACAGCAGATCTCTTGTCGGGCCTTGTGGAACCATCTAGATCGTGTGTCAAAAGAAAGGGGTGGGCGAACTTTATGTTGAGAAAAACTAGTTGAGTTGCAGCATCTGGGCAATAAGATGCGTACTTCCCTCCCGAGAGTCTGGTGGATATTTCCTACATGCCAGTATCTACCTCAACGGCGCACGTTGAAGGCATTTGGGGCCTGAAACACGCCCAAGACAACAGAAGGTTATAAGGAGTCGAAAGCTTCGGGTGCAACACAGTATGAACATCTGAATCTGGATGATTGAAGTTACAAGGCTTGGGGTGTCTGATATCTTCAACAGGGGTGGAGCAAGCAGTCTTTCAGATTATAAGGCTTCTAAATATGTAGTAATGTAGTCGCCATCTCGTGAAGGAGGACTGCGCACAAGACAGGTTCAGCTCATGGTAGGTCATTTTTGCAGCCTTGACTTGGGTTTTATAGGGTCGGAGTAAGTATAGTAATAGCATCCGCTGTAGACTTCTTATGCATACTATGCTAATTATGATTCTCCCTTTTCCCAAAACCTATCCTACTCGCATAAGTCCCCTATACCATTCTGGCCCCCACACGATGGCCAGGAGTGCACCCGCTGCTGCTGGCGCTAAGCGGAAAGCCGCTCCCCGCGAAGCAGCGCCAAGCCACCCTGCAGCATAATACTTACCTTTGGTTTGTAGGGAAAGGAGGAAGGGGGTACAATTATCACTACTATTACTACCATTCTTCCACTCCCTGCCAACCACAGGTAAGAATACGGCCTAAAACGTAAACTAAACCGTTCAGGATTAGGGTTTTTGGGGCAATAAGTTTCCTGAAAGGTGCATGGTACCTTCGAAAAAGACCCCTTGGCTCCGCCTGTAAGCTTACACTCAGCCCTGCGACCGGCAGGCAGCCCATGTAGGCAGGTGTTGAAGGTCCAGGTTTACGGTTTGGGGTTTGGCTTTCAGGTTACGGGTATATGGGGTTAAGTACTTGGGATGATTTAGGTGTTCAGGGTTTCGTGCTTAGGAGCCCGCGAGTGTGTGTCTGGTCTGGGGCCCTCAACTTTGAGATTGGATCCGTACCTGGACCCCAAAAGTATGTAGAATAATGGCCTTTTATAGGTTTTGGGCCATTACTTTACCTACTTTTGGGGGTCTGGGTAAGCACGACCGCGAAACGACAAGCTTCAGCTTTTTCTCACCAACAACCCAGGGTTTAAGACTTACGGCTTACCTTAACCCCAAATGACCTACCTCTTTAAGGACTTATATAGGGCAGTTGTATTCAGGCGCCCTAGCTTAGGGTCCAGGCAGGGTTTCAGGACCCAACAGCCTTCGAAGCCACATCGAAGCGCCAACTGTTTGAGCCCGAAACACGCCGGATAGCGAGCTAAACCCAGCAAATCCGAATCCATCGGCCATAGGACAGCTTCAGTTCATCACTAAACCCTGAAGCCCCAAGAGTTGTTGATCCGATCAGGAGGGCTTTGGCCTGAGAGAGTTTAGGGCTGGAGCATTTCGGACGGGGAATTGGGTGTTGTTTTGTTTGATTCGTTGAGGTTTGCTCCCTGGTGCTTAGTGGGGAATGGGGGGAATGGATCCCTAAAGTAGTCCCTATATAATCCCCAGGAGTGAGGCCGAATACTCTTAAACCAATCCCCAGTAATGGTCCCCATAACTCATTCCCCCATTCCCTACTAAGAACCAGACAGTTTAGGGTGCAGGGTGGGTGGAGTTCAGGGGCTTTGATTTGGGATGGAAGGCATGCTCATCATCTCTGACCTCAGGCAAAGTGAGGAGGACGTCTTCCGCCGACAATGTCGGCAAGGCCACCCGGGATCCTTACTTCCGTGCTTGGGCTCAGGATAGCAGATGGGATTCATGTAGCCAGCGTAGACTTGGGGTGGAGCTTTAACCTGAAGCCCAAACCTTGAGTTCATGATTAACATTGATGAGAAGGTACTTCGATTCTTTGGTACTTGGGTCATAGGAGTTTGATCTGCCTGTGTCAGCCCAATGTTGATGGACGCACGGCGAGAACTTGCTGCATGTCATCTTTGATCGTTCATGCTGCATCGCGGCTATGTTCATCATGGTCTTCCAGACTCCCTTTCGGCTTGTCACTGGGTGCATATAGGGTCTGATTCTACGCCTGTCAAAAGATAAGTTGCGCTCGGCGTGCAGAAGTTGGAGCGTGGGGCTCTATCATATAGAATGTTGAATGTCAGAAGGATGTCGGTTCGAAGGTCCTCGCATTATGCAACACGACCCTAGTCTCACCACTAAGCCTCGAATATCGCCCTTTTGGAGAGCTTACCGAAAGTCTCCATTGTAGGTCAGGATCCTACATAAAAGAGGTTAAGCCAGAAACGATCTACAATGGAGACTAGACTATATATGTACTTCAATCCCGCAGCTTGATCTTGACTTTGGGGTCTAAGGTGCAAGAGGCTGCCCGCAGAAAAAAAACAAAACAAAACACATGTCGGCACTTTGAATTCCCCGAAACCTCGCCCCTTAAACCCTATAATCCCTCAATCCCGTCCTACGCACTCAATCTTCATCCGGAAGCCCTGAAGGTCGGCACGTTTCGAAGCAAAAGGCCCCCAAGCCAACTCTTCTAACCGACCAGAGCCTTGCGACACTTTCCTGGAAGCTGATAGGTTTAGGGTTTCGGGTTTGGGTTTTATAGGGTTTAGGGGTAATTCCTGAGCATCGCGAGGCAAAGGCGGAGAGGAGCGCCCCGATGAAGTCTGGCGGAGGCGGTATAGATTTGCTTGGGGTTCATGAGTCCGGGCCTGCGACCCCTCAGGGTTTAGGGTTTAGGGTTCCCTAAGTCATCCGACATCCGTATAGAACCCGAAAGCTCCAAAAACCCTAAAGCCTTAGCTGGAGAGCGCAGGCTGACTTGTTGACAGGCCTTATAACGCTTGAGAACTCAGGGTGTATAGGGTCGACTGACCGGGTCATGGATTGTTGGAAGAGGGTTTTAAGGGATCTTTAGATGCAGTAGTTTATGGTCAGCATGGCTTGGTTAGTTCGCACTACTACGACGCAGACGACGACTACTACTGCCACTACTGCTACGACCACCCACCACCCAAGCCCTACCAATGGGAGCCAGTCAGTTCCTATGTAAGACCCTAGGCTCCAGACCTTCATCTCGCTGGGGCGGGATGGGGGGAAAGGCTGGTTTAGTATAAGAAAATATTGCGGGGCTCTAGTTTCAGGATCTCCTTAGGCTTGATTGGCCTCATGAGCTTTTTGGAATCTTTATCATGCTTCAGAGTGTAGGCTTACGGCCTGGGTCTGCGAAAATTTGTCAGTTGGCGACTCTGTGAATTTGCAAACTCCCCCCCCCCCCCCCCACACACACACACACACACACCCACGCACACGCACACGCACACGCACACGCACACGCACACGCGCACGCGCACGCGCACGCCCACGCACACACGCACACGCACACGCACACGCACACGCACACGCACACGCACACGCACACCCACACACACACACACACACACACACACACACACACACACACACACACACACACACACACACACACACACACACACACACACACACACACACACCCACACCCACCCACACCCACACCCACACCCACACCCACACCCACACCCACACCCACACCCACACCCACACCCACACCCACACCCACACGCACACGCACACGCACACCTGCACCTTATAGTGTTATAGCCTACACAGCCCTAATCCCGTAAAGCGCTTGAAGGATTGGTATTCTCGCCATGGTTCAAATCAAAGCTTTCTTTGCATGGGTGTTCGGTGTGCGCAACACTCCTATAGCCCAGAATAGCCCGGGGCGCAAAATGGATTGAACCGCTTTTGTCAATGTAAGGGATTTGATATTACCAAAACGCAACATGTCGATTGACGTGGAAGTGGGATTGATCAGTGGGAGGAAAGCCACTGTGCAAGCAGCCTTGGATGAGACGGTTGGGACGTTGAAGCGAAGAGCAGTGGCTGCACTCGGGCTCGGAACAGGGCATCTCCTGAACTCATCTGGATGTGTCCTGGAAGGAAGTGCGCTGATCAAGAAATCTAGGGTGCAGAATGGTGACTCCCTGATCTTGCTGTGCAGCAACACGGTTCAAGTTCAATCCTCTGGTGGCGCTTTTGCTGCCATTCTGGACGATGGATCCGTTGTGACCTGGGGTGACCCTTGCTCGGGTGGCGACAGTACTGCTGTACAGACTCAGCTGAAGACTGTCCAGCAGATAAGCACCTGTCGTCACGGAGCTTTTGCTGCCATTCTGGAGGACGGATCCGTCGTGACTTGGGGTGATCCTGACTATGGTGGCGACAGTAGGGCTGTGAAGGGTCGACTCAAGTGTGTGCAGCAGATCAAGGCCACTGAGCACGCTTTTGCTGCCATTCTTGACGATGGATCCGTCGTGACCTGGGGTCATGCTGAGTTCGGTGCCGACAGCAGCGCTGTGCAGTCTCAGCTGAGGAATGTGCAGCGGATTCAAGCCTCTCAACACGCTTTTGCTGCCATCCTTGGTGATGGATCCGTCGTGACCTGGGGACATGCTTGGTTCGGTGCCGACAGCAGCGCTGTACAGACTCAGCTGAAGAATGTGCAGCGGATTCAATCCTCTGGTTCTGCTTTTGCTGCCATTCTTGGCGATGGATCCGTGGTGACCTGGGGGCCTGCTAATGCGGGTGGTGACAGTCATCATGCGCAGGATCAGCTCAAAAATGTGACGCAGATACAAGCCACACTCGATGCTTTTGCTGCCATTCTTGACGATGGATCCGTCGTGACCTGGGGTGATCCTGACTATGGTGGCGACAGTATGCAGGGTCGGCCCAACCATGTGCAGCAGATCCAAGCCTCTTGGGGCGCTTTCGCTGCTATTCTTGACGATGGATCCGTCGTGACCTGGGGTGACGCTGAATTCGGTGCCGACAGCAGCGCTGTGAGGTCCCAGCTGAAGAATGTGCAGCATATCCAAGCCTCTGAGCGCGCTTTTGCTGCCATTCTAGGTGATGGATCTGTCGTGACTTGGGGTGATGCCGGTTTCGGTGCCGACAGCAGCGCTGTGCAGTCTCAGCTGAAGAATGTGCAGCGGATTCAATCCTCTGGTTCTGCTTTTGCTGCCATTCTTGGCGATGGATCCGTGGTGACCTGGGGGCCTGCTAATTCGGGTGGTGACAGCAGTGCTGTGCAGGGTCAGCTGAAGAAAGTTGAGCAGATCCGTGCTTCTTCTTACGGTGCTTTTGCTGCCATTCTGGACGACGGATCCATCGTGACCTGGGGTGGTGTTACCATTGGCGGTGACAGTACTTCTGTTCAGGACCAGCTCAGGATTAGAAAGCAACTATGACTATGTCATCAGTGGGTGCAGCAATGCAGCAGGGTTTGCAACAGCACATCGAAGGCAGGACCTTGAAGCGCAGCTGATGCTTTGCCAACAAGTGCAGAATGCTATAAATTTCCACCAGGGAGGAGGACGAGCCTCCCGCATGTGGGTGGTTGTCAAAATTAGGGTCCCTTTTGGGTCCTTAATATAATACGGCACCTTCTGTTTAGGGTACCCCCAAAGGGACCCCAATTCTGACAACCACCCATGTGCATGCTTGGCAAGATCCTACTGGCTCAAGAGACATGATTTTCGTTCACACTGCTTGCAGGACACATCTCGAAGAGAACCATTCCTTTTCAGGCTTGACGGAAAATGAGCGACGGGCTAAATTCACATTTGTCGTAAAGCCCTACTACTTACTGTAAACCTAAACCCTACGACACGATTCTCAAAAGATGATACATCGCCAGGGTGCCTAGCCCTAAGCTTGAAGTCAACCTGTAAGCCTTCTCAAGCCCTCTTCCGCAAGTCTTCAGCCCAAAGCCTTGAACCCGCACCCTGGAACCCAAGTCTTAAGCAACTTTAATCCCACAGCTCGACACCGCAACTCTTTCGCCCCAAACCCTTACCTGTAGCCGAAAAGACCTACCTTGTCATGGAACCTATATATAGAAACCCTAACAAGGAACCCTAAAACGGTAGGTCTTTTCGGCTAGCGGCAATCCCACCCTAAACCCTAAATCCTAAACCCTAAACCCTAAACCGTAGACCCTTCACCCGAAAACCGCAAAAGGAGGCAAGAAGGTGGTGGACAAGCTGGTTCCGGGAGCTGGGGGGTTCAAAGTCTACGAGGACCAGCCTGGAGCGGTATTAGGGTCGAGATATTTGGGAGTTTCCGAAAATAGGGGACCCTAATATGGTACCCTAAATAATAGGATCCTTATTATAAGTACCCCTAAAATAAGGTACCCTAACTTCCGGAAATTCCTATATTTTCATTAGCAAAAAACAGGAGTACGTTTAGGGTTTAGGAAATGTTTTCTTATTGTAAACATGCACAGAGAACACTGTGCTTATGTTGCTTCGAAGAGCGGCCAACTGCAGATTGGAAAGCCTTAGCTTCAATGCAACTTAGGATTTATTGCTTTACCCAAAGCAGTTCCTTTTTGGGATTACCTTATAGGGTTCTATATATGAACCCCAAAAAGGAACTACTTTAGGGCCTTAGGGTAAGGTTGGGGCTTCAGGGAATTCAGGGAATCTAAGCACAACGCATGGCACCACAGAATGCCAGGGCCAGAGTGGAGCTAGGGTTTAGGTGTATCTTGTAAGAGAGTATAAGTATATGTTTACATTCTTTGTGTATGCATATCTACATGTACATAATGTATATATATATATATATATATAGTTATAGATTATGGCGAGAGAGAGAGAGAGAGAGAGAGAGATAGAGAGAGAGAGAGAGATATAGAGAGAGCGCATACAAAGGGACATCATGCAGGTCCTGTCATTTGATCCTTGCTGTATTCCCAGAACCCAAAACCTTAAGCCCTACGCCAGTGTTATGTTCAGGATCCTACAACGTAATTATAAGCCCTAACAGGAACTGCAATGGTGTAGATACGTCGGCGCTACAGTATCCGGGTAGAAACCCACGTCACAAGAAGGAGACACTAACTGCTGACAGCGAACCGCGCTATCTTACAGCTCCCCTGACCGCCCTGAGCTCTTGTCGACTCTCTTGCAAATTCTCAGCATTCTCTTCCTGAGTCGCGTCTCGATCCCTCACTCTAAGGCTTGAATTATGTTCTATGCTTATGCAAGGCTTTTTGGTTCCCAAGACCGTGCTTTATGAGGCTTTGTGTTGCATTTTGGCCCCATTGGGTTGGGTGTAGGGTTTGCTGCTCAGTATCCGAATTAAGGATTTACAGTTCGGAGGTCTACCAGTTTTTGACCAGCAGCGACAGTTTCCAGGACATACCGCCTCGGTAGAGTTCAGGTTTACAGGGCCGATGGTTCGATGCTCGATACAGCTTCTTGACTTGCTTGACCTACCAAGCCCCAGAAAACAAGACCCCCTCTCAGCTGACAAGGACTATTCCGTCAAGCTGAATCAGACGAACGTGGACGGCCGGCCCACTCAGCTTCTTTCTTTGCTGTGCGGCGATCAGACGACGGTTCGCCGGTCCCTAAACCCTAAATCTGAAGCCCACCTAAACCCTGAAACCCAAAACCCTAAACCCTTGAGCACTGAACCCAAGACTCGATATACCATAGTGGAAACCCGACAGCCCATTTTTTCGCCAAAACTAGAGGTAGCAAGGGCCCTAAGTACGAAAAGAACCAACTCACAAACTCAACCCAACCCCACATGCGACAGCTGAAACTCATAGGCTGCTAGAACCCAGATGGTCTGTTCATGTACACGGAGATGGAGACTAGAAACATGGAACTAGGTCTGATTCCCAAACAGAGGGAAGGTCTTTGCGGGAGAGTTTCCTACAGTCGTAGTATCTCGTAGTCTTGTTGTGCTTTCCTGGGAGCTTCCATCAATCCTACCACCCCCAAATCCTGGGGCAGCCTTTATTTGTTACGGGGGCGACTAATTAATCTAATCTTCAAAACCCCAAGGCCACTACCCCAAAAACCGCAAAGCCTTGAAGCGCCAAGAGCCATAAGTCCTAATTGAAGCCCACAAATACAATCTCTGAATGTAAAGCCGTAAATCCCTCAATGCCAATCCCTGGGCATCCGAGTCTTCCCGTTGAGCACACATGACTCTGAGTTGCGAGCGCGGGCACATTGGGTATGTATGCGTTTTCCGTAGTGTTACGCTGAACTAATATATATATATATATATATATATATATATATATATACACATATAAATACATATAGTAGTATATGTTATATATATATATACATTAATCATTAATGATTATATATATATATATGTATATACTAGTGATACTATATAACTGATATACATATATATAAAGAATATATATATATATATATAAGAATATATAGCAGTTAGACTAGCTTTTATATGTAGTTATATATATATACACACATGAAGACTGTGTCGTAGAACCCAGGCATTCTCATCGGTGATGTTGTGTGGGCAGTGCAAGAATGCATCCGATCCGCCAAAAGCTTTGTTAGGAAGCGCAGAGTTCAGGGAGACCCTACGTTTCAATCATGAAGAAATGCAGATCAGTGTGCAGTTTGATGAAAATCCTGGTTGAAGCACTGGATGTGATCATGTGCCAGCCATGGTTTCATGAAGCGAGCCCGCTTCGGCAGCTCGAGACTTAGCATAGTGCAGTGTGGGCTTAAAGCAAGCTAGCACATAGTTTGAAAACAAATCCCAATTTCATCCAGGTTGGGTGGCTGCAAACAAGGATCGGCCCAGTGGCACTGACGGTCCGAATCCGACTGACGCCGGAGATGGTGTGACATTTCGTCCCGACAGATGTGGCCCTGATGATCCAAACCCCAATGATGTTTGGATGCAAAGTCTGGCAGTCCTGTTTATGCAGGTTTCAGTTCGGAAGGTTTGCAGTGCTGCCGATCATGATATGTCGGGTGATCGTGCGGCCTTTTCTGCAAGCCGTTTTTGTTCTTCGGCGAGTGTGGCCGTGTGCACCGAAAGGAGGCCGGTGGTTGAACAGCAATAAATCTGACAAGTGATATATAGTCAGTCGATTTTGCAGGTTCCCGTGGAGCCATGGACGATGCCATGATGAGCAGGATCCTCTTGGAGGACTCACATCAGTTGTGATTCTTCCATATATTCAACTCGGGGAATGTATTCGTCAGGATTATCTCAATACCTTCTTGACGGAAGTGGAGAGCCGGCTTCCTGCCATCCGCAAACACCAGGCCTCGTAGAAATCTTCTATGTTGTGCCCACATATAGATTTGTGCACGCATAACCTGTTCATGTACACGTGAGGCCCGCTGCATCCTCAAGGTTCCAAATGCTGAAGGGCCGGCCAGCACGGCTATGTTGCAAAAGAACTTTGATTTCTTTGCCGGGTATTTTGCAACCTTCGCTGCCAAGATCCCCCTCCTTTCGGTACACCAAGCGATTCCCAGGGCATGTGTGCAATCCCACCAGTTGAGCATGTGGATTCTGTGCAGTCGGTGCTGGTCTGCATGGCCAAACGCTACAGCATCTTCCCGCCCTTGACCAAAGCAAGAGTCTTGAAGGTGTTTCAACTTGCATTGGCTAGTTGCTGTGCAAATGTCATTTGATAGTATAATAAATTAATATTGGTGCATCGCTCAGGACTGGGCCGCCGGAGAGGCAGCAGTGATTCGTGGAGCCGGTATGCATGGCTTGTTTCTTGCGAAGCGTGCTGAGTCTTCCAAGCCTCCTGCATGCATACAATTTACGATTGTGCAAATCTGTATATTCCGCTCCGGAACATATTCAAAAAACTCAGGTGCCTACAGGTTCTCGAGCTGAAGAAGATTATCCGAATGACGATAACTGCCGCAGGCAAGCATTTTGTGGTTCATTCCCATGTTGGCAGAATCAGCCAGTTGTCATGATGTTGGCGAGTCCGAACAATGATTTTTTCTGGATCTGGAGGTGGTGATCCCAACCGCGATATTGCGGCCGGGCTTCAGGAAGCTGTGGATGCCCCAGATGATGAGATGGGAGATGACGAGGTGCAAACTCTGGGAAAAATACCTTGCCCCATGCACCCCCTTCCCATGCAGGATGATTGCTTCTCCACCCCGGTTCCTTGCAAGAAGCTGGCTCCTTTGGAGCTGGTGTCCCCGGAAGCTTATTCGCAAAAGGATATGTCAAAATACCAAAACCCGAGAACCTAAACCCTAAACTCTAGCCCCTAATCCTAAGCCCCTTGTACCTTAAGCCCCAAATCCAGACTAAACAAACACTGAGCCCCAAACCCTAAACCTGTATACAACCTTATACCTCGTAGCTAAGGACAACGTGGAGACTCAGCTTGTCCTCCCACCTGACTTCGAGGATGCCCTCATGCCGAGCCCTCTCCGTGACCCCGCAAAATCTGCTGACCCCGAAGATCGCCGCCAAGCAGCCAAGGTTTCCCCGGGGTATTGCCAGTGCAGTACACGTAGCATTAATAGATGTATACTCACCAGTTTCTGCTACTCTAGGAGCGCCGCCCACTCGAGCGTGCCCTGCACATTGACACCAAGTCTTTGGAAGAGCAGGTCCAGGAGATGCAGGGCAGTTTGCCCCCGGGTGGGGGTGAGGATGCTGATCTCCGGGCGATGCAGCGAAAGGCGCTATGACTTAGCACTATCCCTAAAATATCGATCCCCAGAATTCCAAACCGCATCCCGATCTACACTGACCCGCAAACCCATGATCTTTCACCACACAAAACCCTAAACTAATCCTATATATATATATATATATATATATATATATATATATATGGTAGTTCAAACGATTCATAGCAGGATGTATCTGGGGCTGGATTTTGTTCTCAGGCTAGTGAAGCCTGCACACATGGCTCATTTTCCCTGAGGTGGCCGAGGCAGCTCGGGTAAAGGTCGCTGAGCAGAAGGTGGCAGCAGCAGCTGCCAAGGCTGCAGGGAAAGGCTCCAAGCCTGCAGTGCCGGCTGTTCGAAAGAATGGCAAGCAGCCAGTGGGGGGTCGTGGTGGGGGTCGTGGCCGGGGTGGAGGAAGGGGCAAGAAAGCTCCCGATGTTTCGGAGGAGGCTAAGGAAGACGAGCCCAATGCTGAAGCACCCCAAGCTGCTCCAACCCAGCCGAAGCCCGCTACCCGTGCCGCCGATTCCGAGATGTCCGAAGCCGAAGTCGCAATTTGCAAGAGTTGGATGCAGAAGGACGGTGCATGTAGCCACAGTGATAGGAGTTGGATGTCATAGACGATACACTATCTCTAACTAATCAAACATAATTAATCAGGAGATGGTCTACAACCTGAAGATGGCCAGCATCCCGATCACCCCCGGCTTCAACGGGACCAAGAAATGCTACACCCTGAACCCGAAGGTGTTTGCTGACCAGGCGCCGGAGGGTGCCCAGTCTATCCAGATTCTGCAACTAAAGCCGCAAATTAAAGCACTGTGCATGTGCAATATTAATAGTACTTCTACATATGTGGGAATTGTGCAACCCAGGTGGTACGAAAACCAGATCTACGTGATGAAGGTGCTGAAGAAAGACCCCGAGATCAATGTGAACAAAAAGGGTGGGGCAACAGTTGCCGTCGCCAAGCGCGGCGGTTGGCGGGAGAGCTTCAAGCTTGCATGCCGGCTTGCTGGCTGGACACCCATGGTAGTTGGAATGCAACTAGCCATAGGCAGATTGTGAACAATTCTGATCTTTTGGGTACCTATTCACAAATGTTCCTGAACTGAGGACCCCTGATCAACACATGGAGTGCCGAGCGGTACTCTTTTGGGCCTTGGGGAAGTTTTGCTACATTCCTGTGCCCTGCTACATGTGGGAGCAAGCTTAAGGATTGGAAAGCTTTGATTTGGAGCTGCGATCCCGAAATTACTGCAACAAGCTCGCTTTTGTCAGTGTGAGACATGCACTCAATGGGAGCTGAAAGATCTGATGCATTGCAACTGCAATTCTGTGTCTGCCTTGCATTACAACAGCGGTCATTCTCTGGATGTCACCAGACTTTGGAACTCGGAGCTTGGTTTTGGCTTAGGGCTTAGGGTGCCGGCCCCTTCTAGCTTGCTAGCTGCTGCCTCGCAACGACGATGCCAGCCGAAAACCGGCCTCCGGCCATCTTCCTGTCGAAATGGAAGGCTACAATGCTTCTGCAGTGTGGCATCCCCCTGATCGTGCCCCTAGCCAACAAAACAAGCTTCAATTGCAGAACTAATCATAATAATGAGTCCCATAAAATCAACTTGCCCAGGATACATGCCATGGACTACCTCGTGCAGCTCAACCAAACCCGTGCCGCAGACGACCCACTGTTTTGGAGACAGGCCACTGACCCAAATCGAATTGGTTCTTTAAGGGTTTGTGGGTGCTCCTGATCAGGATATAATGCTGCTGGAGATGTTTTCTGGGTCTGCGAAGCTCACCGAAGCTTTCCGCTGCTTGCCTAGAATTCAACTTCAACTTCACTGGCCCCAACGCCTGGATAAAACTGAGTACTGCCGTCCTCGCCGAGGTGATGCAGGGCAGCGAGCGTGCCTTGGATAGTCACTTAATTACAGTTATTACCAGTACTGCCTGCTACTACCACGACGACTACCTTATCCACTACTACCACGACGACTACCTTTATACTGCTACTATTATTACTACTACTACGGTTGATGATATAAATCCTGCATTACCCATAAGAAGGAATGCACCATAATTCCTATATAGTTTAAGGTCCTGCAGGATTTATATCATCAACCGTACTACTCCTTCTGCTACTGCTACTGCTACTGCTACTGCTACTGCTACTGCTACTACTACTACTACTACTACTACTAAAGCATCAACACGGTTTGAGACAAAATTGGAGCCCCTCTTTTTTCTTATTTTACAAACAACAGAAAAAAGAGGGGCTCCAATTTTGTTTCAAACCGTGTTGATGCTTTAGTAGTAGTAGTACCACTACTACTACTACTCCTCCTACTACTACTACTACTACTATTACTACTACTCCTACTACTACTACTACTACTACTACTACTACTACTACTACTACTACTACTACTACTACCACTACCCTATTCTGTTCCTACTTCTGCTACTACGTGACGATTACTGCCACTACGGCTAGTAGTAGTAGTAGTAGTAGTAGTAGTAGTAGTAGTAGTAGTAGTAGTAGTAGTAGTAGTAGTAGTAGTAGTAGTAGTAGTACCACTACTACTACTACTACTACTACTACTCCTCCTACTACTACTACTACTGCTGCTACTACTACTACTACTACTACTACTACTACTCCTACTCCTACTCCTACTCCTACTACTACTGCTGCTGCTACTGCTACTACTACATCCGTAAACCCTAAACCCCTAAACCCCAAACCTTAACCGTGTTTAGGAGCCTCGCAGAGTCTTCGAACACGCCTAAACCCCTAAACCCCAAACCTTAACCGTGTTTAGGAGCCTCGCAGAGTCTTCGAACACGACAAAGGGGGCATCCTTAACCCCAGACCAAAACCCCAAGGGTCCAAGTACCTAATAATCATGGACTATAGCTTCTCAGGAATTCAGGACTTCCGGCTAAATTGGAGACTCGACTTTGCAGTGGTGCAGCCGGGTCCAGCATTCTAATGAAATACCCAGCCCTGACAGTGTAGACCCTCATATCTGGATATGAAACCCATCTTAAGCTTTAGTAGTATAGAATACTTAAATTCGATCAGAGCCCAGCCAGGACCGGCTTCGACAGTGTACACCACGTCGAGCAGGACTTGACGACAGTCCAAGGGTTCTTGATGGCCCTCCGGGATACAATGAGGCTTTCAGAGAAAGGGCTACTATGGGGTGGCATCCCGTGTGGCTCGATACTTGGTCAGCACATAGAGGGCTTCCGCATCGGCTGCTAAAGCATCTTCATGCAGTTCACAATCATGGTTTGGCTGGTGTCGTATTGCAACAGCCTTGGGACCGGGTATCCCAAATGTTCTATGGTTGATACAGTAGCAGGTCAAGTTGTCGTATGGATATAATTGGATTCTGTACAGGGCTTATTCGATGTTAGACTTTAGTATAGATCTTCGATTTTGTTAGATATGTCGGACAGGGTGAAGATTATAGAACTTGTTATATCACCCGAGAACGACACTTAGGGTTGAGGATTTAGGATTTAGGGTCTAGGGTTTAGGGTTTTAGGGTTTAGGGGTTTTAGGTTTAGGGTCTAGGGTTTTGGATTTAGGGTCTAGGGGCGGTGGTAAAGGCCCGATGCAAAGAAAGGGTCTAGGGACGTGTAGTATACCGCATAGCAGTATGCTACCTTAACCCCCTATCAATGATAATCAGCAACCAAGCCATCCCTAGGCCCTGCTGCTCCGAACCCCCAAACCCCAGAGCCTACAACCTGAAGCCTATAAGCCTATAAACCTAAGCCCCCGACAACCCAAACCAGGCCCACTTTAAGAAGACCCCTTGCAGCCAAGGTTTGTCTTCATGAACCTCTCCCGCACGTGCCGCAACCACGATGTCTTGGGCAACGAAGACAATCCTGCTGTGGCTATCGGCAACATGTTGTGTGCCCGCTTTGCAATCCTAGCCTTGGTTGCAACCTGTTTGAACCGCCACTGGGTGGCTACTGGGCTAAATAGAAAGTCAACCCTCGTGTACACTGTGACAGTACAGGTGCTGTGTCGATGCAATGCTAGGTAGAGCAGCCGATGAGCTCGGTTCTGTACAAGACCCCTTACATGAAGTTCCTCCTGGCCTTGCGCGGGGTTACTGCATTTTTTCATCGGTTGCCACGGCCTTACCTAGTGAAACGTAGCTTTGCAGGTTGCAGCAATATCGTTCTGCCATTTCTAAGTTGGATGGCGAACTATGGACATTTTGCACCCAAGCCGAGCCAGCTGTTTGGGACCGGGCAACTGGGACTCAACTACGCAATGCTTATTTGACAAAAGACTTGTACTCTAGACAATGCAACTATTGAGGCCGTGGTTGACTGAGTTCAACGATCAGCTGTCGAAAAAGACGAAGAATGATCTCAAACTCGATTCCAGCCACATGGTCCGCCGCGCCGTGGATAAAGATGGAAAGAAGCAGGTGTCACTTGCCATCATACTACAGTGTAGCAAAGATGGTACGCATGTCCCGGTCACATCTATTGCTAGATGCGGTACCAAGGACTGGAGGCCCTGCTCTGAAGACCTCGGCTGCCTACACGCCTGAGTTTGCTCAAGCTGTTTGCAAGAAGCATCTGGACTTTGTAGTCGCGACCCCAGATCCATCCATGTGCACGTCCCTGAACCGAAATGATAAAAATTAGACCCAAGTGTCGCCAGGCCAGTGACGACTTTTGTGGCCCACAGCATGCAGCCGATGAAGAGATACCTTCGATATACGACTTTGTGGAGCTTTGGATGTAATCAGCTTCTGCAATAATTAGGGTTTTGATCAGGGATTATTTTAAATGAATGGGGTGGTATTTTTCGTGGCTTCCCACATGCAATTTGAGGGTTTAGGGCGGTCTAGGATTCATCGCTTTTGGACAGGTTTGGGCAGGTTGAGATAGCAGGCTGTATTTTAATCTATGGGGGGTTAGAAATCAGGAAGGTCTGGAATAAGAAGGGTGAAGGTGGTTTGAATTCTGGGCTCGTTGCAAAGGCTTGCTACTCCGATGTCTGAAATTATCGGGGTTTTCCCTGAATGCAAGCTTAGGGCACCCGAAGCAATCCCACTAGCCTGTAGATCGTAGTAACCCCACACTGAACAAAATCGCCGATCCTCGCTAGCTATACCAGTTAAAGCTTCACCCTAAAAGCAAGCCGCCTATGCTCGGCCGACAACTTTAAAGAAGAGCTTGTTAGTCTCGTGGGAGTAAAGCCCCCAATGCTTTAGGATCAAATGTGCCTAGATGATAATAATATGTCCTATATGTGCAAACTTTCATTAATCTATATAGATAGCCACTGATCTACAGCCCCGAAGCCTGAACTGCCGCTGTAGAAAGCTTCAACCTGAACCCAATACAAGTAGCCGCCGACTTCCTAAAGATGCAACCACTCCAGACCTCCACAAACCCAGAGGAACAAAACGACTATTATGACTACATATTTTCTATTATTATTATTACTATTATTATTATTATATATTTATATATATATATATGTTTATGAATGTACCTATATATATATATATACACATCTGATGTGAATATATAGTTATATATTACATGGCGAATATATATAGATAGTCCAACCGATACCATATAGAACCTATATAAGCTAAATCAAAGCCCATCTCATCAGGAACCTCCGCTGGGGTGGCATCATGCCCACTTGCAGGAAGTGAAAGCTTTCTTGCAGCAGGAAGCAGAACTGGGTAGGTACAAGCCTAGCCAGTTGGCTTGGGAGTGAATATCTAGCTAGCTGCTAGCAAGCTGCAGTGCTAATTCGTTCTGGCTTGTGTGCTTTCGTGCAAGCCCTGTGGTGCAGCATGTTCCGAGGGTGTGCTTAAAGTAGTGATAGTGCTGAATAATAGTTGCAGAGGCAGGTGTAGTGTGCACATCCCACTAAAATCCGGCCCTTTGCTTGCCTGTGAACCCACGTAGACCCGGGGACACTGCCCACCCTCACAGCGAGAAAGCGCGTGAAAATGCGTGAAAACGCGTGAAAACGCTAAATCCTCTTATAATAGTAATATATTAGCAGGGCATTTACTGTAAAAGGTGTGGGGCGTGAAAACGCGTGAAATTGCGTGAAAACCGCTCTGGGGCTCCGTGGCGGTGCTCTCTGGGGGGCTGTTTGGAGGGTTCACGTGGGGGCTTGGGCTGCCAGGCCTACTCGTGAGGGCTCGGGAAAGCCAGTATCGCAGCAATTTTGCATCATTTTGTGGCCTTTCGAGCTGCTACTGTGCCGGCGATGGCATCTGCAGATGATTTGGCCAAGGCCACATATTCAGCACATGTGTTATTCTAAAGCACACCACAGTTGCATTTGCAGGTGGCTGCAAAAGCGATGGAAACTGCTCGGATCCGCCGGGAGTTGGCCCGGCTGGGGCAGTTGAAGGGTGTTTCGCCAGCTGTCAGTTCAGGCAAAAGAAGTCGTGTGCCCTCGCAACACACACCTGGAACGACACCTTCTACGAAGACTCCAGAACCGAAGCATGTGAAGCAGCTGCAGCCAACCCCATCCGGAAAGAAAACTTTGGAGTTTGATGCAAGCTTCTTGGATTGCATAACTACTCGTTCTTCTAATCTAACTTATTACTACTTGGGCCAGGGTTTGTATGTATAGGGTTTATGGTTATATCCTCCAGGTGCTGGCGAGGAGTCTGGAAGCTCGACGCCGTCCACATCCGGTGGCCTCGCCAGGGTTCCCACCACTTCTTCCTTGGCTTCTGGTGATGAGGTGGAGATTCCAGTCCTATGGCTAGCACCATCCCCCAAACTCTATACCCTTAATCCCACATCCGTATTTTTGTGATACATGTGTATAGTATACCACCATGCATACACGAGTACATGCACTCACACACATATATATATATATACACAAACATATACATATGCATATACGTACACAAATATGTGCACACACATGCATGATATACTATTTTGTATATCCTTTGCACGCAAACTCTTCCATGATACTCTGCATCTCAGGTGAAGCAGCAGGATGAATGGCTGCATGACAGACAGCCAACGCATGAGTCCCTGGCCGTGTGTGACAAGGCTGAGGGTGGGGATGTTATGTGGCCGGAGTTAGATGCTGCAGGGATACCTTTCTCTACGCCCTTGGATGATATCCCAGCCACACAGCCCTTCCTAGAGTGGGAAGACGATGAGCCAATGCTAGATGTACAAGAGAAGGAAGCAGCTCTTCAACATGTGCTGCAACGGCCATCGACTGCAGAGTTTGAGAGTAAGCTGGCAGAAGCAAGTGCAGAGGCCGCCCCGACCCCCCTTGAGGGTACAGTGCAACACTTGCTGTTGAAGCCGGGGACAGTAGATTTTGCTGAGATGGAGTGTGCAGCGGGAACTGTGCCCCCTGTGCAAGCCGCACATGTGCAATCCGCCGCTGCCCAGCCACTGCAAGCTGTGCAATCCACTGCCCAGTCACCGCAGGCTGTGCAATCCACTGCCCAGCCACCACAAGCTGTGCAATCCACTGCCCAGCCACCTGAAGCTGCGCAATCCCCAGAGCAAGCTGTGCAACCCGCTGCCCAGCCTAAGCAAGGTGTGCAATCTGCTGCCCAGCCCGTGCAAGGTGTGCAATCCACTGCCCAGTCCCAGCCTATGCAAGCTGTGCAATCCAGTGCTCAGTTCCAGCAAGGTGTGCAATCCGCTGCCCAGCATGTTATGCAAGGTGTGCAATCCACTGCCCAGTCAGGGCACGCTGTGCAATCCGCTGAAGGTGTGCAATCCGCTGCCCAGCCTATGCAAGCTCTGCAGTCCACTGCCCAGCCCATTCCTATGCAAGCTGTGCAATCCGCGGCCCAGCCTATGCAAGCTGTGCAATCCACTGTGCAAGGTGTGCAATCCGCTGCCCAGCCTTTGCAAGGTGTGCAATCCACTGCACAAGGTGTGCAATCCGCTGCCCAGCCTATGCAAGTTTTGCAATCCACTGCCAAGTCCATTCCTGTGCAATCCGCTGCCCAGCCTGTGCAAGCTGTGCAATCCACTGTGCAAGGTGTGCAATCCGCTGCCCAGCCTATGCAAGGTGTGCAATCCACTACGCAAGTGCTGTCGGAGCCCACTCTCATGCACCGTGTGCAATCCAGTCCCCAGCTGCAGACAGCGCCAGCCGTGCAATCCCTCATGCCACCCCCGCCGGTTCCGGTAAAGGTGGAGTCTCAGGGTGCTGCGCAACCACCCCTGACCCCAGCCGTGACCCGTGACCTTCCCCGTGCTTCCAGTGAGACAGATCTAGAGTGGTCAAACTGGTTGAATGATGCGGGGCAGCAGGATGCAGAAGCCAAAGCAAAGGAGGACAGATGGTGCATGTGCTATAATTAATTTAATAACCGACCTATATATAGACTTATCCTGCATGCTTTCAGGAGAAGCGCCAGGTCAAGAATGCCTATATGCGCATGACACGAAGTTTCGGCATCCTTGCTGCAGTCTTAGGATCCAGGTTTGTAGCCACCAATCCCATCACGTGCCTTAGATTTTGTGACCCGAGGCAATACAAGGTGTCCCGCCGTGATTGTGCAGAAGTACAATGCCGCCAAAGGCGGTGCCTTTGGCTCATTTATTACTCTACACCTCAAATGACTCAGGGCTTTATGTGTTATTAAGGTACGGAGCTTGGGTTTAGGATAACTGGATTGAAACCCCTGAACCCCAAAATCCCTCAAACCTAAATGCACAAAACAGAGAAACCCTAAACCCCTACACCCCTTATATAGACCCTACTGCGAAGCCCTAAACCCTAAACCCCAAACCCACCCTAAACCCTAAACCCTAGGCCCTAAACCTTCGATCGGGATTCAGAAGTATTATATAGTGCATACGATATATATATATATATATATATATATAATATATATATATATATATATATGTATACGATATATACCGCTATATCAGTCTTTATTTCTAGTGTTTCTATCGAGCAGAGTTTTGTAACCCATTAGCTGACCTAGAATCGTACGCTAGTCGGGCAATGCTGTAGGTCGTAGTACCCCGGCACTTATACCCTAAACCCTACACCTAAACACTCGACCCCAAGCCTTAAGCTGCAACTTCACCCCAAACCCATCTCAAATCCAGCCAAGATCGCCGCAAAATGCACGAACTGTTCGAGGAGTTCATCAGCTCCAAGGAGGATTGGGCTCGATCAACGATTGTGACGAGTTTGGTTACGGCGACAAGCACGCAACGACGTGGTCGCTACGAGTGGAAGCGCAAACAGGAGGGCCTGGGGTAATAATAAATTTAAATGCACAGTTGGCCTGAACCTCTCCTATGCATAGGACATCATGGCCATGTATGACAACGACGAAGCAATCGTCAACGAGCTGATCCGGATCAAGGACAGTTGCCCTGGATCAGTGAACACAGGTTTCAGTGCTGCTGCTGGTTCCCGGGTGTGGGTTCATGTAGCTGATTATATGGGGTACTGAGCCGTTTCGAATGCGGTCAACCTTTACCTTAATCATCCTAATATAAAAACCAGAACCCTAGCTTACACCTCAACTAAACCCGCAACCTAGCAAAAACCCGGAGCTAGCTAAACCAAAGCCCATGCTTCACCTTAATCATCCTAAACCCCTAACCAATGCAAAACCCTAGCTATAAACCAAGGCCCATGAACCGAAGAAAAAAATTAACCATTATCACGAGAAGCCCACCAACACCCGTATCTGAACACCGAGCCGAAAAATCTGAATCCAAGCCCACGAAGGACGAAGCCCAACTTCTAAGCTTATTATAGGCTTGTATGGTATTATACTATCCCATATTATCTGAGCACACCAAACCCAAACAATTCGTCGCCAGGGTCCACATCCACTTCGCCCCATATGTTGCCGGCAGGAGTCGCAAGGCTTGACGCGCAAGCATCCTGAGTTTCCGAACAATGAGGCTTGGCAAACCCGTCATTCAAGAGCCTCGTCTGTTTTCGATTTGAGTGAGGTTGAGCTTCGCTGCTGATCAGGCTATGAAGCTTTACAAGGTATGGGTTGCTTTCAGAGAAGATGATGTGGACACGGAGACCAGGACGACCGAGATCAGATGTGAGGGCGAGGTTGACAATACCGAGGTGGCTTTCGAGGTGCCGTCGGCTTCGACGGCCGGGGCCGATGCTGCTGCAGGTCACCTGCCACCTCCACCCAAACCAAAGGAAAAGACCAAAGTTAAGAAGGAGAAGTCTGCAGTGCAACAGGCCAAGCAGGCCAGGGCCGAATATGCAAGTGTGCTAGCTGCTAGTGTTCATGACGGCTCGGCCTCAATCCAGGCCAACACAACAGCAAATGATTTGCTCTTGGAGATCAGTGGCTATGATCATCGCCTCAAGGTCCAGAAAGTGTCTCCTAACTGCATATATCTAGATTATGGGACCCCCGTTGCCATTATACTTACAACCCAATTTCCCTAACCCTTCTCCCCGAATCCTAAACCCAAGCCCTAGGTCGGAAGGCCTTCGCCATGCGTTTGTGAATGACATGAAGCTTCACGGTGCAAAGATCACACGCTCCAAGGAGAAGCTTGAGGTAGGCATGCTTAAGATTGCATACGTTATCCACAAATGATCCCATGATGACCTCATGTGTGCAGGCCGCCTTGACGACCGGGACTACCAATGATGATCTCCTTGTGCTGGTGAAGGAGATGGATGTGATAATCAAACACTATCGTGATGCCTCGAAGCATATCCGGAGTTTGTGTGTGGAGCCGGCAGCCAAGAAGCAGCCGAAGGGGAAAGCAGCGCCAAAGGCAAAGTGAAGCAACCTGAGATGCCATAGGGGTGTCGAGGTGAGTTTTGGACCGATGTGTGGTTCGACTCTGGACATATGCTGGCTTAGTGTCGAGAACCTGACTCCTAGTGCACTGTGTGTTTAGTACTTTATAAAAGCTAAAGAAAGTTGTTCACTAGACTTATGCAGTGCAAAGTCGGGGACTGCTGGTGTGTGGGATCCCGTCCTGAGTGTTGCCGCTATCGCAAGCGGGGGTGCCAGAACTGGCACAGTCATCCCCATTTCAAAAGATTTCTGTCGATATGCAGAGGTGCACTCGTGAGAAAGTACTGCTCTGCAATTGTGAGCCTCACGCCTGGTCCGATGTCTGCAACAGGAGCCTTGAATTGCCTCAAGTATTGCCCTTAGCCAGGTCCAGCCCCCTTTGCCGACTACCTCCTATCTTCGCTGGGGAAAGGAGCCGCTTGAGATCTGGAACACGATTTTGTTCACTAGGGTTTCACTCTTATTTCGGATTTCTCGTTCGGGGGCTTCTTTCTCGAGTTTGCTGCGGTTTCTTACTTATTTAAGGGTCTTCTCAAGCTTTGCTACTGATTCGGTAAGGCTTTCCTGGGATTTACCGGGTTAGACCCTAAGCCCTGGATCTCGAAGCATCGAAATGGATTCAACCCTATTATCATACCTGCAAAATAGTTTGCTAAGCCCTGCTTTCCCGATCCTCAAGCAAGTATAATAAAGCACACCCAAAAAGACCCGGTCCAAGGCGACTTCATGTGCTGAGCTGCAGCGAGCAGCCGCAGCAATGGTGGCCGAGTCCTGGTGGCATGACTCAGGCATGACAATCCCCTTAAGTGGGTCCGTATTCGCATATATAGACGGCTCCAAACAGCCTTAAGGAAGCGGGAGAAGACCATGTTTCCGAATGGACGAGGAAAATGTCGAGGATTGGCTGCAGTGGTAAATACCCAGGCAATTGTGAAAGGGATCTGTTCCGAGCGCTGCAACTTCCAATCGTGCCTTTGCAGCCCTTGAAGCTGGAGTCTAATGCCCATAGATCAAATTTTCTAAACCCTGTATTAACAACTATATTGTACTCTGCAACCCAAACCAAAACATCCCTGGATTTTTCGGTACCCGAGGCTCTTTACTATGTGGACATCCCGATCTTAGACCCCAGCGATCGAAAAACTACCCGAAACATGCAGCTACCTGTGATTCTGCCACACTTGACTGTGGAATACCTACTGCACACTCGGAAAGTGGTGGTTTGTCAAGCTGATGTTGAAGAATACTGGAGGCATTTACAGGGTGCCAAAGTGCAGTGGGCACTGGATCATCCAGGTGCTTTTTCCTGTGTCCCGCTGGGGATTTACGGCGACGAGGGGCAAATCAGCAAATCTGGAGACAAGGTTATGGTGATTACTTTCAATTTTGTCTTGGACAACAGGGCTGGCGACGGTGTCATCCACCGCTTCCCCATTGCTACTTTACGTGAATGGTGTTCACTTGGAATGAGGTCAATGCATCCTTTGAGCCAAGTGATGGCTTGGAGCTTTAATGTGCCCCCGGCCAAAACATTAGTCCTCGGTCATGAGCATCATATGTGGATCCCAGAACATTCTCAAACCATGAGCATCATTACCCAAAAGTGTGCAAAGTTTAACATGAGGCATTGTATACGGGCAAACACCCGTCCGTTGACTTCAGTGGTCAAGACACTCTGCCGGCATGGATGAAAGCTAAAGCTGGACAAGACCTCCCAGGCAGGTCTGTCCTTCAGCGGCAATCGCAGCTCGTCGTATGCCAGCACACCATCCTGCATCAGTGATTGGCAGGACGCTTCTGTGTCACGGAGAGTAGAGGAGACTGGAAGTGGCAGAAGCAGTGGTACAGCTTGAAGTACTTCTGGGTCACACTTATATCTGCCACTGCTGTGATGCATCGATCAAGGGCAACACGAAGTTCCTAAGCCGCATCAGATCATACGTGAGCATGTCATGTGTCTGTGTGTGCTGGGTGTGTGTGTGTGTGTGTGTGTGTGTGTGTGTGTGTGTATATGTGTGTATGTGTCTGATCTGGGGCTTCACATCTAAGCTGGAGCACAGACCTGACTCGTGAGTTTCGGCCTCGCTCTGCTGCAGAGATCGTTTCCAGAGCAATGGAGTGCCATGGCGATTTTACAGTTGCATGGTTTTCTTTAAGCTGATGGTCGCAGGGTTTAAGGGTTTAGGGGCTTAGTCATAGGGTTTAGTTTATTATTAGCTAGTTAGGGGTTTAGGACTTCGGGTTTAGGGGCTTAGTTTAGTTTATTATTATTAGCTAGGTACGGGTTTAGGAGTTGAGAGAGTTTGGGGTTTAGGGGTACCTGCCAGGGATCCTGTGAATGCGATGCTTTGCCATCATGGGTTTCACCCATCCATGCTGGCCTGGTGCTCGATGCATCAGTTGAATCTGGGAATCATGCAAGACTTTAGCGGAAGCGCTATTTTGCTCCTAGTGAGAATCAGCATCTGGGCCTAATATGTGCCGGCAGCATAATTCTCCGAAACTATATGGTTGGGGTCTGGCCTGATCAGTTAAGGTTTCTTCGGGAACTACAATGCTGAGGATCATTTGAGGGAGTCTATGAAGGAATGCACCCGTCGCTTTAAGGACTTCTGCAAGCTCCACTCTTTTGAGTGTTTGGCCTGCAATCATCTGTTGCTGTCTCTGGCCCTGGTCTCTACTTTACTTTGTAATTAATTCAACCCGAAGACATAGTTATTTCTTTAGATATGAATGGTGTTCGAGGTGCAGCCAATGCTGGCTAACGACTGGTATGCTGCACGACAACCAGACTGGCTGGCCGAGTTTGAAATTGAAGGCCTACAATGCGAGAATCTTTCTGATGTTTGTGAGGGCAGCATTGCAAGCTGCCAAATCTGCGCGAGAAGCTCAAGGCCTTGAAGAAGATGCCGAGCTATCCTATGCTGTGATGGCTGCGAAAGCTTTGTGTTCGTGGTTCGCCCTGGTCGAACGAGCTGGGCGATACTTGACTCCGGAGCAAGCTGCCGAGCAGGAGACTGCAGGACTGGTTTTTCTTCGCTGCTATACATTCCTTGCCCGCCTTGCTGCTTCGCAAAGCATTCGAAGGTGGCATGTCATAACGAAATTTCATGTGTCTGTTCAGATTTATGAAAACTTTTATGACACATTGGTTTGGATGGTTTGAATACACTCGGGTGTATACTGCTTCTGTGTGCTCGTTCTTACAAACCAAGGGATTTCGGCACATCTTGCAATCGGCAAGATTGACTTTATACAACAGCAGATTCCTTCATACATATGTCGACGAAGACTTCGTTGGCGTTTGGATCCGTTTGTCGAGGCGTGTAGCACGATCCTGGGCCAGCATTAAGGACGTTTTTGCTGTGTATGTGGCTATAATACTGAACTTTGATTTGTGGATGTTATTGTGTGGTCAACTGAGATGCTCTCTTCGAGTTCAGAGTGCTGTGTCGCTTCTTGCTGCGGCTGCAAGCCATGCGAACTGTCGATCAAAGGTCGGTGCCTGCTCGGTGGAGCTGAGTTTGCCGATTGTGTGTGCGGGCAAAATGAAGGAAAGTGACATCTTGAAGGTAATTCGACGGAGTACAATTCAATGTAAATGAGATTCAAACATAGGATACGTTAAAGTCTGCAGATTTCCTATACTTACGCAATGTAAGATCATTTGTCGTTGGTTTGCGGCAACTTACCCTTAAGTCTGCTCTCTGAGCTGACATTGGAGCTCCGGGGAATCTCCACGGCCCAGACGCCAAGGGAAGAGCAACAACTACTGTTGATGATATAAAGCCTGCATTATCCATAATATACCATACTTCCCATAGTTTAGGGTCCTTAAGGTAATGCAGGATTTAGATCATCAACCCTAAACCCTAAACCCCAAAACCCTATAGATCCCTTAAAGGGAACCCCGTAAAGGTACCCCTATAGATCCCTTTAAAGGAACCCTAGGGATTTATATCATCAACCGAAGTACAGAGGCTCGAGGTCTCCTAACACCCCTAAAGGCCCTGTACCCTTAATTAAGGAATAGACCCTAAATTATAACAGGAGCCCGAATATGATTTAAGGAATATTCCTTAATAATGGAATAGACCCTAAATATGATAGGAGCCCTAATATGATTTAAGGTATATTCCTTGATTAGGGGATTTTGGAGGTTCTGGGGAACAGTCAGATGTCTTCACAAGGATGCTCAACCATGAACCTCTTTTGCCAAGAGAACAAACCGGAAGCCACATAAAACCCTAAACCCTGGGAGCCAAGGGAACAACAACAAGTATTACATCATCCAGCTCCTCACTGGCCATGGCACCTTGTCGCAGGGTTTGGAAGCTCTTAAGCTCCCCCAAACTTGCAAACATCCCTCGGCTTAGGGGTTGCGGCTTAGGGTTTCCTCAAACCCAGACAGCCCACCACCTGTCTCGGAACATATGTAAGGAGATCACAACAAGGAACCAAGGAATGCTTCTTAGGGTTGGGACAAGGTCGAGTGACTCTGACTCGACAACCCACCCAACCAGGCTGAACTCCTTCGTTTTATATTCTCTAACCTTGTATGCCCACACCCAGAAACCCCAGGACCCGAAGCAAATGGTCACCTCCGATTCCAAACGTGAGCGCTACCATTGTCATCTTGAAAATCGCGAGCACAACATCAAGTAATGACAGAAGGTTCCCCTGTCGTACCGATAGGAAAGATCTTTCGTCCCTGCCACCTCAGTACATAGCCGCCGTGTTGGCGGCTGAGCCCGAAAGCCTTAACTTAGTGTGTGGGAGTCCTAGATTCGCACATCGCTTGCAAAGCTGTAGCAGTTTGGGATCTTGAGGGTTTGAGGTTTGAGGGTTCCGGGTTGGGGGATTCCTAGGTGGGGGTCTGGGCTTTGGGTTGTTGTGGAGTAGGCCTCAGTACCTGGTCATTAGGTACTACGGGGAAGGTTAGCAGTAATTGTAACTGGAGGTTGGCTTTGTCGGGGATAGTTGCTTGTATTTGGTCCTTGGATGCTCAGGGTAGGGGCTTGGAAGATTTGCGCAGAGGCAGTGGGGTCTCGTGTTTTGGGGATATGGTTGACTTTAAAACACCCGCCAAAAAGCTTGTAGCCTAGCTTTGTAGGTCCTGGTTATCACACGGATGAACTCCTTGTTGGGCGGGACAGAAGGGGTCCTGATTTAGGGAGCCAGCCTGCACAAATTCATCCTAGGGCCGGTTCAAGCTTGGGGTATTTTGATTGGCTCCGGCAAGTTGAACGAGGACAGCCAAAGGAAGCCCCGATGTGGGACAACACGAAAGCCCCAAACCCCAAGCCAATGGCACAATAAAGCAGGTTGCTACATGACGCCTCGTTCATTTCCACGGTTCCCGCCCAAGAGGGTTGAGGGGTCATGATTGTCGGTTGTAGATCCGCGTTTGGCATAACCTCTTGAGCGTTTCGGGTAATAGCCATAGAATTAAACGACATAAGGTTGCAGGAGCATTTGGGAGTTTCCGAACATTAGGGGTTATTTTGGGGTCCTTATAATATGGATCCCTCTATCTATGGTACTACATTAGGCCCCCCTAATTTTCGGAAACTCCCATTTAGGGATCCCAAATCCTAAACCCCCAAAACCCTAAACCCCTAAACCCTAAATCCCCAAACCCTGCACTGCTTCTGTTCTCCTCAAGAAACGAGGCGAGTACCACACCTGGAACAGGTGGGGTCGAGCCTTGGCGTTGCTTTCGACAGACCTAAAACCCTAAATCTTTGTGGGGTTTAGGGTTTAGGGTGGATACCTCGAGATCCTAAACGCTAATATGAGGACCTTATAAGCTGTATACCCAAAGACCCTGACAGGTATTCTAAAATGAAACTAAGTTCCAGTACCATCTCGCCTGTGTAGGTTTCGACTGCAGGGGTTTGGCGGTGGAGGTTTTGAGTCGAGCTTGGATTCTGATCGCAGAGATTGTGACGTCGTAGGCAACGGAATCCTCCTTGCACCCACCTTGGCCCGGCCTGAGTGCAATTCACCAGAGCACCTGCGCCAACACACATTTTCACTTACCTTGCAAACCGACAGTAGAGACAGGATTTCGATGGATTTCGTGTTTAAAGACTGTTTCGGATGCTTTAAAACTTACATCCGAAACCCCAAACTCCGCCCCTAAACTAAAATTAAAGCAGTGGTTGATGTCGAGTTTGGGGCTTAGGGGTGTAGGGGTGTGCTCAGGGCAGTGATTAACAATAATGTGGTGTTGGGGATATACGCTCGAGCAGTTCTTCGCAGGTTTTGATGGGGTATACTACGTGTCCCCAGACATTCCAAAACCCATTAATTAAGGATCATATTAAGGATCCTACTATAATTTAAGGCATATTCCTTAATTAAGGGATTTTGGAAGGTCTGGGTCTTTCAGACCCGAGCTTCATCGTAAACTGCACACCTCCACAACCCTAAACCCTAAGCTCTAAACCCTAAACCCTAAACCCTAAACCGTGGTTGGTGGAACCCTATGCTTCATCCTGAATTGAGTCGTAAGTTTGGATCTGGGCCCCTGTGATTTCAGCAGCTTCGATTCCGTGGCCGCTACACTGTAGGGTTGAGGGTTCAGTTAGAGAGTAGTGTTTTGTCCAGTCGGAGTCTGTGGTTCTCATACAGCACACAATAGGGTTTTGGGGGCCACTATACTCCAACTCTAATAAGAAACCCCAAAACAGTATAGGTAATTATGAAGCCCACTATACTCTCATTGTGGTAAGAAACCCCAAAACAGTAGAGGTAATTATGAAATTCTTAAGGCCCCCCATTGCATGGTCTGATCGGAGTGGCAGCAGGGGTGCGAAAGCGCCTTAGACCCTCCATTGCTCTCGGCCCAGAGGGGTCCAAGTACCTAACAATAACAATATGGGAGTTCCCGAAAATTACGTGGTCCTTATTCTGGGATCCTTGTTAAGGATCCTAGTATTTCGGGTACGATATTAGGGTCCCCTGTTTTCGGTAACTCCCATATGATTACCAAGTCTAAGCCCTGCAGTTGAAGCAAATATCCAAAGCCCACCTCCACAGCCAAATCGAGGAGTGGGTGAGTCAGGACAGACGAAGTTCCAGTCGTCGCTCGCCTTGCTGTGGCTGGCGATCAGGGTTTAGGGCTTCGAGTTCATGGCTGAGGGGTGGCAAGAAGGTTTAGAGGCTAAGACCTCAAGGTTCAGGCTGTTACGACTTTTAGGTTTTCGTTTGGGGTCATTGGGTGTTTAACATGGTCTGCTCATGCGGGAAGCCCAAACCTGCTGCAAACCAGGCTATGCTGTGCTTCACTGTAGTACGTGACGCATTGTTGTCAGGTTTGGTAAGGAGGGATTTGTAGGATGTTGGATTTTTACAGTTGAACGGTTTGATGAGGGTGTAGGTCAACCTTGTCAGTCGACTACGGCTGAACGGCTAGATCTCATTTCGCAATCTTGACTAAACAAATCTTGCAGGCGTCTGAGAGCAAAAGAGCCAGGGCGCTACCTGGCCAAGGATCATGGGTACATGTACAGAGCTCAAAACCCTTAACATCGTAAAGCAGCCACCTGAAAAAAAACACAGCCTCTCCCAGTATACTATATATAATGTACCCCTGAGCCCTATATATATATATACTTATAATGTACCCCGACGCCCTATTCTAATCATCAAGACGCCTGCGTTACAAACTTTCGGGCGTTGAACTGCAGAGAGACAGTTTAACTGGAGATGAAGTAATTACATCAACACCCCCGGATTTAGTCATGAAGACCCCTGGGGTAAGGGCCTCTATTTAATGATCAAGGGTTTACATGAAACCAGCAGAACGCGCGAAAGCCAAGCAGAAGCCTGCAAAGCCACTGACAGCCCCCTTGACGAGCCCTTTAGCTCTGAAGCCCGAGCCCTAAACTCTCAACTCATAAGAGCCGGAAAAGTGGCGCAAAAAAAAACCAAGCTCTCAACTCTAAGCCCCACATTCTGGATCCTGGTACACCTCCAGACGAGCTGTCAGAGGTTTTCGGATGTCGGCAAGGCGATCAAGGCGCAAACTGGGTTGTAGTTAGGAGTAGAGTAATTAACCTCTAACTTTTTTGGAGTATTATGACCCCCGTATAATCCCAAGCCAAGGTCGTATACGTGTTGGTGCCCATTCTAAGACGACTATACAGCCCCAGATTGTATCCAGGTTTACCCCCTCGGCTACTGAACAGCCCAGCACTCTGGCTGCTCAGAGGTATACTTATCTGGGTTGTGCTTTGGGATAATTTTTAAATTCCCTTATTTCCTTAGAAAGGGAACCTATTCATAAATAAGTTTCAAAGGGTAAAGCACAACCCAGTTATTAGCATGGTCTTACCTGTTCTAATGTAACTAGCTCACGACAAGTATATGCTTTTCCCCAGTGGGCTGATGAAAATCCGAGCATTCAGAGCATCTCCGTGATTCTGCTTGAGGGCTCCATTCGTTTCTGAGCAAGAGCTTTCATTCATGACACAAAAGCAGTTTTGGGGGTTGTCCAGGTTGAAGGTGTGTAATGA